CTATCTTTACCTTTCTTTTGTTATTTGTTTATTAGAGGAAATTAATATATAAAATTATTTAATTCTTTAATTATATTTTAATTTTTAAAAATATTATTTTTTTTTATTAATTATATTATTATATTTTTTATAAGAATATTTTATTTTTTAATTTAATATTATTATTTTAAATTTATATTATTTTTTTATTTATATTATATTTATAATAATTTAATATATTTTAAATAATAATTATTAAAAAATAATTAATAATAAATAATAATTAATATATATATTATATATAATTAGAAATTATATATATATATATATAATTATATATAAAATATATAAATATATATATTTATTAAAAATATTATTAATTATATATATTTTTTTTTTAAATTAATCCTAATTAAAATTTTATAAATTAAAAAATATATATATTTCCTGCAAAATTAAGACCACCCATAGAAATATCGTTAATTTTAGTTCCAATTATAGGTGTCTGAGCGCAGGTTTTTCTAATAGTGGAGGTCTATGAGTGATTTTCTCATGGTCCTATCTTCTCATCTTCGTATCTTCCCATCTTCTCATCTTCATATCTTCTCATCTTCACATATCTTCCCATCTTCTCATCTTCATTTCACATCCTCACATCTTCACATCTGTGCATGTTCACATCTTCTCATCTTCTGATCTTCACATTCTCTCTTGCTCTCTTGTTCTCTTGCTCTCTTGCCCTCTTGCTCCCTCCTTCTTTTCTATTTCTCTCTTGAAGGCGCGGGGCACCACACTACATCCAATAGTTGTGGTGAGGTGACCGCTGCAACCATTGCAACCACTCCAAAAAACACAACTCCAACCACCTGTCGGTCCATCAGTGGATTCGCTCTGCCATCCGTGATTCACATCAACCAACCTCTCCTATAGGTTTCCTATTTTTGAAAGTTCCGCCACCGCCTTGTGCGGTACTACTGGTATATTTAAATTATTTGCCTTCCTATATGTATTTCTATTATTTTTTATTATCTAGTTTGCATCTGAAAGTACTTGATGTCGGTAAGGAATTCGTACTCGCCTCCAATTTCAGCTCTCACAGGGCATGTGCGTCAAGTTACACTGGGGTATTGGCTTGTGGCCCTCCATGCCATGGGAATTCGTGTGTGGGTTTGTTTGAAAATGGGGTAATGTGGAATGTTTTGACTAGTGGAGTGGTCGTGTTTTGTGTCAAACCTTCCCCAGCTTATTCAATACCCATGCAAGGATGTCGTGGTTGTGGATCCACTGCTCTTGTATCTTTACCTTCCTTTTGCTCAGAATCCCCGATCAAAAGCAGCCCGCAAAGAACTTTGCACGGGGTTAGTCCATGAACCACTCAGCTTGTCAATAGTGGATTTGTTGCCTTGGTCTTGAATAGTGGCAAAGTTTGGTGGATATTGATATTGCAAATCGAAGATTGCGTTGCTAGACGTCTGTATAGCTCTTGCATCTTTGCCAGTGCCACTCCTGAAGAATCCTTACACTGCCCAAGGTTTCCGAAGGAAAGAAAGCCAAACGAACAGAAGAACAAAGGAAAGTCAGAAAGGAAAGAAAGCAGGAAGATCAGGAAGCAGAAGGAAACAAAGGAAGAACGAAGAAGAGAAGAGGAGAACAAAAGAGGAAGACCTGAAAGCAGATTCACATGACTTAAAACTGGAGTTTCCGTTTGAAAATGAACTTGCAAGTAAGGTGCTAGTGCGACTTCTCAAATACATCACAAGTTAGACCCTCCCCCAATTGTTGATAGGCCATAGTTTTATATAGTTTTAGTATAGCATGATTTTCCAACTGAAATCCATAGTTTATCTTAATTTTTTCCCACTTCAATTTGCCAAAACATTTGAGCAGTCAAAATCCCTCTGGCATTCCATTGAAGCCTGGTTTGTTGCTAGGGATTCCCCTATTGGATTATCATAATCCCAAATAATATCAAATTGGGTAGCATGATCCCCGAACTAATCATCAAGCCTGCCAGGGGTGGATCGCAGCCACTGCTCATTTCTTCAAAAAAAGACCAATGGATTGATGTCCCCCGCCACCACTTGACCTTGAAAAGGGCGCGTCTTTCACATTGCGCGCCCGCGACCTACGCTTCGGGGCAGCCGCGTTTCATGGGGCGAATATGCACAAAATCTACACCCTTGAGATCCACTGCAGCTGAAAAACATGCTGATTTGAGTTTGAAAAGGAATTGAAATGAAGAACAATTCCTGTTTCAATGAAATTGAATGATTTTTTTCAACAATGCAGATGATCAAATGTACACCCAAACATCAAAAACAAATCTTTTTAAGGGTTAGACCGGTGGTTCTTCAAGTTGCGGATCCCCAAATCCTCCAGTTTCTTCGTTGCAGCCACACTGAGCTCAGGGCCACAGGTACTTGAAGGTATACCTGATCTTCTGACGTGCTTGGGCTGACATGGCTGATTGCTGTTTTTCCAAGAAATATATGGAGGAACTATGGACAAAGCGTACTGAAATTCTCAAAGATTCGATTTTACATGATTTTACCATGCTTTATCATCCTCCAATATCCTCTATACCATCCTTTTCCCCTGATGACACCCTCTGTGTATTTGCCTCGTAAAAACCTGCTGCAGATAGGTTGCCACAACAAGACGGGAATGCTGATGAAAAGTAGAGCTTCCAGAAGCAGCCAGAGCAGCGTAGCCAGAATCACTGAGAGATCAATGTGGCAGACCTAGGAGATGAAAAAAACTGTGGTTTTTCCCTCCACAGCCTAGCAGAATGTCATCATAGCCACGGGTCGCCGGCTCAAAGTGTCATCTTGGATATCTTGGCATGCTGCGTCACTAAAACAACTTAAACGCATGCATTCATGACATTCCATGACAGTCTTTCATCAACACCATTGGAATCCTATGGAATCCTTAGCCTCAAAGAGCCCGAAAGGTTTTCAGCAACCCTCATGAGAGGCCTGTGAAAACCATATCTCATTAGTCTAAGTGAGTGGTCTCAATTCCATCCCAAGATGTATGAACCTGGCATCATCCAAGAAAGGACCCGTTGGGACCTGACGATCCACAGGTTTCAAGCCAGACACTGCTTGCAGACTGTACTGCTTGCATCTCACGAAGGCTCTCAGCAAGAGAATGGCCTTACAAGAATCGAAGAACTGGCCCAGGTCTCACCAGGTCTCACGTCCCAATATGGATACCCCAAACCATTGGGTTTCCCATCATTTTTAATTGCTCATTTTGGGATTATTTGGGGTCCCCCATTTTAGGATCTTTAGGGCGGATCCTAACCCATGATGTGAAACACCATGTTCTGACCTGGCGACCAGGCTATCCGTTCCTGATCCTTGGTCTGTCTAAGCAATTACGTATATATCTACTTATACACGGTTTACCTATGCAAAGGATTTGTTTTAAGGATTTGTTTCCAAACAAATCAACTACATTGAACTATACTATATCACACTATACTATATCAATTATATATATACATATACATATATTATATATATATTATGTGATATATTATGTATATATATATGTAGACATATGCCTATAGTCACTATCACAGATCTCCAGGTCGCCTCATAGTGCTGCGGTCGAAGTCCTTGGTTCACCGGATTTCACTGGAACCCATGGGATAAATGGGATTTATATTGCAAATATATTACCATATGGCAATTGGTAAATATAAATGGTAATATATTGGTAATATAAATGGTAATTATAATTGGTAATATATTGATTTACCATTACTGTTGGAGTATATGTATATATATAATTATATATATATATTACCATTAATGGTATTTACCATTATATTATTTTATTTCACTGGAACCATTTGGTAAATATGTTACCATATATTACTTATTACTGGTTGGTGGTTGACCTACCCCTCCGATAAATATGAAAGTCAATTGGGATTATGACATTCCCAATATATGGAAAAATAAAAGCCATGTTCCAAACCACCAACCAGATTACTTATTACCAACTATACACACTGTAATTATAATGGTAATTACAAACAAATATACACTGTACATGTTATCCACGACATGGCGGGTCATTTCATCCACAAACATGGCGGTGATGTCACCAAGAAGATGGAGGCCCAACAACCTGCGGGATCTAAGCAATTCAAATACTTACTGGTGCTAAAAGTAGGGAATTGGGGAATCGGATGATTCTTACCCTCCTGGTAAACTAACAAGGAAAATCACCATCTTTAGCAGGGAAATCAACCATACATGTGCCATTTTCAATAGCTATGTTAAGTTACCAGATGGTACTAGGTGTCAATCGTTTTATGGATTCCCCCATTCTCTCCAAGACGGTGGACACCAGATATCTACCAAAGGCAATCCCCCAACAAAAATCTTGAAAAATTGATTCCTACTATATAAAACAACTCCGATACTTGTGGGCTATAACCCAACTTATCTGGTTTGTGGATTTAACCCCCTTGAAAAATATTAGTCAGTTGGGATGACTATTCCCATATATTGTGGAAAATAAAACATGTTTGAAACCACCAACCAGCAACTTATAGCTGGATTTACCGTACTTACCCTACTTATAGCTGAGCTTATAACCCACTGGGATGAACCAGCAAGAAATCCCACCTTTTTGAAGCGTTCAAAACCCGCGGCCCGTCATTCCATTTAATCCTGGTTGGTGAATCGGAGTTCCCACAACTCATGGATTGTGATTCCCAATGCATAAAGGGTAGTATATGGAAAATCCCGAACCAATCAACCAACAACACTTATTAGTTAATCAAGGTATATCCACTTACCCTCTGCTAAACTAACATAGCTATGGAAAATCAACATCTTTAATAGGTAAATCAACTATAAATGATCCATTTTCGATAGCTAACCGTTAAATTACCGGAGGGTATATTATATATATATGTGTGTGTGTGTTTATAGATATATCCGTCATCTTTGCTAGCTAAGAAACAATATGATATTCCCTATTATATTAGCGGGTATCATCCCCATTAATCCCCTAGTCGTCAAATAATCATCAACCACCATTTATTAGGTTATAATTATAAATGTTATATGAGTTATATATCCACTTACATGCCCATATGAGAATCTGCAACATGTCCAGCTCCTGACCTGCCAGGTACCTTCCTTTGCCAATCAGCATTGCCAATCTGAAACTTGGATGACTCCGTGATGCTTGGCTCATATGACCATACGGGTCTGTAGGGGCCCCTTTGAGCACTTGATGGTGCGATTGTACGCACACCCGCTGTGCATGGAAAACATTTGCTGAGCCTTGCGCTCGCTTCATTTGCTGTGCTGTTTGATTGGTGGGGCTGTGGAAACCCCATTTGGTTGAGAGCTCAATCTGCTACCAGTGTGCACCCGCTACACTGGTAGCGGAGCAAGTGTTGCTCCAGCTGCTGCGCTACTACATCCTCAAGGGATTGGCTTGCGCTGGACTTGCGGCTGTGCCAGGGCCTTTGAATCTCTTGCTGCTGCTGCAATCATTGCTTGAGGCATTGACGTTGCGGCGACAGTCGGGCTTTTGCATTTTTGGCTGCAGCTGACTTCTTTGTACTTCCAGGTGACGCGACCTGGGCCTTTGCTTTTTCCTTGCAGTCTCCTTTGGCAAGATGGAGAAGGAGCACCATGTGCCTGGTTGGGATGGTCAAGCCAAGGGCTGGCGCCGATACACCCGAGAAGTGTGTTGGTATGTCCGCGCCACGCCTCAGAACAAGAGGCGACATTGCGCTTCGAAGCTGATGAGTAGGCTGACTGGGCCTGCTAGGCTTCTGGCGATGTCTTGGCCAGATGTGGACTTCGACAAGGTTGGGGGCACCAAGGAGTATCTGCGTCGACTTGCAGTTTCTCCTTTGGTGAGGCAATCGCTTCCAAATGCTGCTGCTATTTGTCAGCAGTATTTTTCCTTCAAGCGAGCTCCAGGAGAACCAATTCATGCCTTTTTGGTTCGAGAAGCTTTGGGCTATAGCGAGTTTGTGGAAGCCATCATACGTCTTTACGAAGACAAGCATGGGATCAAACAGGATGACAAAGATTTTGGTCTGCCTTCTGATGAACTGGAGGACGAATGGACTCAAGGTGAGTGGGATGACTGGTGGCGAACGTCTTCTTCCCCTCCATCAGAAGTTCCCGAAGTTCCTGCTGAAGATCCACCACAAGCTCCACCTGCGGCAGCCACTGCTGCGCCTCAAGTTGCTGCTGCAGAGCCGGCTACACCTCCTGGTGACATGGGCTCTCCTACTGGCCGAACACCTTCGCGCCAGTCTGGAAGAGTGCCTCCACTGGTTCCTGAGAAACGATCTGTCGGAATTCCATCAACTTCTCCTGACGTTGTGAATGAACTGACGCTGGCCGATAGCTTTGTGCTCGGCGTCCTGCGTGGTTTTCGAGTTCTTCAAGCTGCTGGGCTTTCACCTGAAGATAAGCGTGACATTCTGGGCACGACCCGTGGCAGTTTAGAGTTTGAAGTTGTCACCCATGCTCTTCAAACCCTGTGGGATGAGCAATTTCTTGGTCGTCAGCATGGACGTGGCCAACAACATGACAACTATCAAGCTGAACACTATGATGAGTGGTGGCTAGATGGAATGGCTGCTTATGGTGATGACTGGGAATGGAATGGTGACGACTGGGACTGGTGGGACTATGATGGTTACTATGCCAGTCTTCCTGAAGAAGCTGCCGCAGAAGAAGAGACTTCACCGTCTCCTGAGGATGAAGCTGCTCTCAAAGAAGCTCAGCAAGCTGAGCGCGTGGCTGAGTCCTTAGCAGCCGAAGCTCAGAGAACGTGGAGTGAAGCTCAAAGGGCAACACAAGCCTTGAGGAAGGATAGGGGCTTTGGTCAGATTCCTGTTCAAGGCAAACCTGCTGGCCGAGGACCTTGCTTTATTTGTCATGGCCCACACCTTTCCAGTGAATGTCCTGATCGGCGACACCCCTACTACAGTAAGGGTTTCAACAAGGGCAAGTTCAAGCCTCACTACATGACTGAATACGAAGAGGTTGACAACTATTTCACTGGCAAGGGCAAGGGCAAGAAGGGATCGAAAGGTCTCAAATGGCTCGAGGCTCAAGCGTGGGTCAAGGGCAAGAAAGGCAAGGGCAAGGGTCAGTCTCGACCCGCGGTGAACGCATACAGTGCTGGCATGTATGGGCTAGAGCTCATGGATGTGAAGGAGATGAACACGGCTGCTAGCTCCACTTCTTTGTCTCCCAGCCAAGGTTTGATTGACTGCGGAGCGACTGCATCAGCCGGTCCTCTCTTGGCAGTTCAGTCGCTGATTTCTAGTGTCTTGGAACGTGACCACCAAGCGGTGATTGACATTCAGAAGTCCGAGCGACCGTATTTTCGCTTTGGCAATGGGCAGTGGGGCAGGGCTTTGTTTCGAGCATCTATCACATCACATGCTAGTGGTTCCCCAAAGACCTTCAAGCTGTTTGCGTTGCCCAATCCTCCTCAACTACATGATCCCAACTTTGATCGTTCAAGCATGGTTCCTATTTTGGTTGGTATGGATTATTTGGGGGATGCACATTTTGGACTTTGCATTGACTTTCCCACGGGCATGGCTATTCAAACCAACGATGGTGAAGCTTTTCAACTTCCAGTTAACCAAAAAGGGCACTATGTTTTGGATGTTGTTCAGCTTCTAACTGAAGGACATGAATGTCATGAGGGTCATGCCACCATCCGGGTCAAGGGTGCCGAAGCTGTGCGTTCACTTCAATCTCTAGAATTTCATCCAGTTGAATACTATGATCTCACGGTCTCTGAACGCATGCTTGATGAGAAGGTGAAAATTGAGGCAGTGCAAAGACTGAGAACTTTGAGATCACTTGCTCAGCCTTCGAATGCTTCAGCATCTGGCTCAGCTCTCATGATCTCCAAGAGCAACAGCGCAAATTCGAGTTCTTCCAAGTGTGCTCGCCATGTCGACCTCCAAGGAGATGATCACTGCGGAGCAGTCCAAGCAGTTGACCAGCATGGCGAAGCAAAGCACACCGAAGAAGGCACCAGCTCAGCCTTTCGATCCTTCCAGAGAGGTCAGTATGGACCTGAGGGATCCAAGGGCCAAGGCCAATCAATGGCCGTGCTATGCGGCGCACACACCGACGGGAGCGCGATCCAACCAGCACGGTCGATGGATCGAATGTGCAGTGTGCGGCCTACGTCTGTCCTATGTGCCGAGAGTGGGTGCAGCCGGTCAGACGACCAAGTGCGAGAATCCGGGGATGGTGGAAAGGATGCTTCGAGAGACCTTTGTGATGACCGAGGGTCGACGCCCAACCTTGGAGCTATGCCGTGCCATGCAGGCCAAGATCGATGCGGACGAGGTTGTGAATGCCCTGGTCATAAAGATCAACGAAGCTCCAAAGCCTTCCAACGTGCTGTTCCACGACGGCTACAAGACGAAGCCGAAGACACCTCCTGGGAGCCCAACTCCATCCTGGGAGGCAATCAGCGAAGCGCCGACTCCTGCCGAAATGGAAGCTCTTCTGTCCGAAGAGGAGAAGAGCAAGCTGAAGCAGGTGATTCAAGAGCGCAAGGGCCAAGCTCAGTCATCGATGGCTGCTCCATGTCAAAACGCCAACAACGAGGAGAGCGAGATGAACTGAGATTGCCGAGCACGAGACCTTTGACTTCAAGGGTGGCATCCAAGTTGATGAACATGGCTGCTTCTATGCTAATGGTGATGGCTGCCAGCACCATTCAACTTTGTCTTGATGGACGTGATGGTGTCTGGGAAGTGGCATGCTCGCCACACAGCTGGCTCTCCGAAGCTTGCAACTCCCAAGGTCTTCAGTCGAGGAGAATCAATCTCCACTCTGGCTTTGATTTGTACCAGCCAGCTACTTGGGAGCGTTTGAAGCAGCTCCGTGCTCAACGAAAACCCAAAAAGATCTGGCTCAGCTTGCCGTGCACCAAGTTTTGCCAGTGGACTTACATCAACTATGCCTCTCCTGAACGTCAGGAACTCTTGAAACAATATCAACGGAGAGAACGCAAGATGTTGTGGTGCATGAACTCTTTTGTCCGTGATGCTCTTCTTCAAGACCCAGATTGTCAAATCTACTATGAATGGGTGTTTCCTTGTCGAGGCTGGCAAGAAGCTCCCATGTTGGACTTGGAGAAGTACATCAACTCTATTGGACTTCCATGGCTTGACTGCCGAGTTGATGGGTGTCGCTACGGCCTCATGGACAGCAAGAATGAAGGCTTCATTCGAAAACGGTGGCTTATCAAAACCACCGATGAGCAGTTCCACCTCAACTACAAGACCAAGACCTGTTTGGGGTCTCACAACCATGTTTGGATCCAAGGGCCTGAAACGGCTCGATCGGCATATTATCCTTGGCGTTTTTGTCAGTCAGTGGCTCGTTTTTGGAAACAGCAGTTTCTGTCTGACAAGCATTTGAAACTTTTGTACGCCAAGGAAGACTACGCGGATCCTCTGTGTCAGTCCTTGGACGTTGAAGATCCTGAACAAGTTTTACTACCAGTTTTGGCCGCTCTCCCAGCACAACAAGAAGATCTACCAGATGATGAATCACCAGAAGGTCTTCCACATGAGAGGTCTGCCCAGCCACCTGCAGATCCTGCTTCTGATGAACCAAGCTCTGACGAGCTCAAGAAGTGGCAGGCCAAGATCGCGGCCTACCACAAAGCTGCTGGTCATCCGACCAATCGCAACTTGGCCCGCTTGGTCAAGAATGCTGGCCAACCTCAGTGGAAAATTGATGAGGTGATGAACTACAAGTGTCCTGCCTGTGAATCCATCAAGCCTGGTGGTACGAGCTCTGGCTCCATTCCACCTGCCTCTACAGCTCCCATGTTCAAAGCATGGCAAGCTGTTGGAATGGACACTTCGGAATGGAAGATTCCTGGATCAAGGCTGAAGCTCAAGTTCCTTCTGATCATGGACTTGGCTACGAAGCTGCGTGTCCTTTGCCACATCAAGACCTATGAGAACTTCAAGCAAGAAGGTGAAACTCATCAAGACATCATCAGATGTTTCTCTGAAGGATGGCTAGGTCACTACCCCAAACCGAACTTGGTGGTGATGGACAGCGCCAACACCTTTTCCACGCCTGAGTTCTCCCAGTTTCTTTCTGAGCTGAACATCCAACAGCACTTCATCCCTGAGAAGGAGCCCTGGGCGAACGGTGCTGTTGAAGCTGCAATCCAAGATGTGAAAACAACAGCTACGGCAATCCACCTCGAAGACACGGGTCAAGACCCAAAGGTGACGCTAGCTTTGACTGCTTCCTCTCTCAATGCCACGGAATTTACTGCTGGGTTTAGCTCTTTTCAATGGGCATTTGGCAGTCAATATTCTCTTGCTGATGAGGACTATCGGACTTTCAGCCAGCTTGATACCACCATGGACTTTCAACGGTTGGTTCAAGCTCGACAAAAAGCTGAAGAAGTAGCAGTCCGCACTCGAGCTCGAAGAGTCCTCTCCAAGCTCTGCAGCAACACTACAGTGCGCCAGCCTCTTAGAACCTTTGAACCTATGGACTTGGTCAAGGTTTGGCGACGATACCAACCAGCTGATCAACATCTTGGCAAGCGTGGAGGGTTGAAAAAGTCTGGGCGACCACACTGGATTGGGCCAGGCCGTATCATTTTCCAAGAGGTCCTGCCCCATCAATCTCCTGATGATGCTCGACGCCATATCTGCTGGGTGCTCATTGGCAAGCGGGTCATGCGGTGTTCGGTCCATTCCATCCGACCTTGCACACCAACTGAGCGTATGGAGTATGACCTGACCAGCGGAGAAGATCCATCGAAATGGAAGACATTGGCCGACATCATCCCCAAGCGTGAGTTTGAGGATTTGGCTGATGATGAACCAGGTCCTGATGAAGTTGAATGTCCAGATCTTCCTCTACGGCCAGATCAAACCACACTGGTTCCTGTGACGCGAGCATGGCGGAAATCAACTTACGGACCAATGGATTGGCGCCGAATTCCACGAAGCTCTCCACTGGGTGTCGGCGATGGACTTCGAGACACCAGAGCTTTCTCTTATGTGCCTGCTCCGCAACAATCAAAAGCTGCTGCCTCTTCTCCTGTTCTTCCACCTGCAGATGCTGAGCAATCAGCCCCAGCATCACCTGGCTATGACCCTGGCACACCGATTGGTGCCACGGCCAACACTGATGATGAGGCAGTGAATGACTATGGTCCTATGTTGGATGATGGGCCTTCAGATCCACCTGACTCCAAGAAATCACGAGGCTCCTACGACCTCAAATGGGTGGAACAACTTGCTGCTGAAGCTGACATGGAATCCAAGGCCTTGGACTTTATGGCCGCGCTTCAGCAGAATGATGAATGCCTGGTCTTCAACATCGACTTGGACTTTCAGTCGCATAGGCAACAGAAAGTTTTTGAAAGGAATCCAGTGGCGTATCTGGTCCGCAAACTCAACAGCTCAGAAGTCAATCTTCAGCGTCTGGGCCCTGCAGACCTTGAACTCTTCAGAAGGGCAAAGCAGAAAGAAGTTCACAGTTTTATACAGAACCAAGCAGTACGTCGCTGCCTCAACAGCAGCGAGGTGAAGGAGGCCTACTCCACGGGCAGAATATTGAAAGCCCGATGGGTACTGACCTGGAAGGCTGTTGCTCCAGATGAAAAGACCGCCGCTGAGGAAGACAGGGACAAGAATCCTGACAGCGTCGTCAACGCCACAGCCACGAAGAAGGCGAAGGCGCGCATTGTCCTCCTGGGCTACCAGCACCCCTCTCTTCTTGACAAGGGGTTCAAAACATCAGCTCCGGTGCAGAGTTCCTTGGGCAGAAATATGCTCTATCTACTCGCTGCGACGCACCAGTGGCGACTACATGGCCTGGACTTAGCGACGGCATTCTTGCAGACAATGCCTACTGAGGCCGACAGCAAGATATGGACAACAGGTGTCCAGGAACTTCACGATGCACTCCAGATCCCACGAGACTCTGTCTTGCGTATTCTTCGCAACATCTACGGGTCAACAACGGCCCCAAGGGGTCTCTGGCTTGATCTGCATCGTACCTTAACCTCCTTGGATGGCCGTGCTGCACTTGGCGAACGTTGCCTATGGCTTTGGTTCAGCAAGCACGAGAAAGACATCACGGGCAAGTTTCCTCGGCTCATAGGAGCCATGGGTGGTCATGTGGACGACTTCCACAGGATCGGTGATGACACATCCTTGGAGTGGCAACAGATTTGCCAGAAGATAGATGCCTCCTACAAGTGGGGAACTATGAAACGCGACAGCTATCGTCATGCTGGAAGTGACATCAACACCATTGAGACCAAGAATGGCTTCAAGCTGCGCATCGATCAAGATGCCTATGTTGAATCACTGCCGGATGTCAACATTGATCCAGTTCGTCTTCGCAGCAATGGTCCTTTGACTCCTTCTGAGGTGGCTGCCTGTCGTACCTCTCTTGGTGGACTTCAATGGCTAGCCATCCAATCTCAACCTCAACTCTGCTCCAGGTGCAACATTCTTTTGACTGAGATTGTAACAGCAGGCACACTGGAACATGCGAGGGAGATCCAACAAATGATTGGCGAAGTGCGCCGTGAACCTCAACACCTTGAGTTTTTCAAGCTGCCAACTGTGGAGCGATGGAATCAAATGGTTTTCATCACTATGGGAGATCAAGCCCACAACAATCGCCCAAAAGGCGATAGCACTGGTGGACTTGTTACACTTGCTGCTGGACCTGAAGCTGTCTCAGGGTGTGTGTGTCCCATGATGCTCCTGACCTGGCGAAGCTGGAAACTGAAGCGAAAGGCCATTGCCTCCAACGACGCAGAGGTGCAAGCTGTTTTGGAAGGTGAGGACCAGAATTACCGGGTCCGACTTCTGTGGACTGAAATGCATGGCGCTTGTTATGGACGTCATGGACAGCGTGATGACTTGGTTGAAGCCACCGAAAACCAGGTGAGATGTATCAAGGGCATCATTTGCACGGATAGCCGTGGTGGATATGATGCGGTGGAGGTGAACGAATCCCCTCTCCTTGGTCTTTCAAATCTCCGAGCTGCCCTTCAAGCATTTCAGCTTCGAGACAACTTGCAGCGAGTTGGAAGTGAACTTCGCTGGCTGGCATCTGACTATGATTTAGCAGACTCAATGACCAAGAAGCGCAACGACAGCCGAGATGGCTTGATGAAGTTTTTGCGTCATTGGCATTGGAGTATTGCTTTTGATCCTTCTTTCACTGCTGCCAAAAAGAACAAGCGTGCCGGACTGACTGCTGTAAAGAAAGTTGATGACGCTTTGCATGGTCTCTTGCGCGAGCCTTGCAGAATGATGACACAGTCAATGCCGCTTTGATTGAGCAGCTGCTGATTTCAACTGAGAGCGTCAGTGAGAGTGATAGTTTTGAAACCTGGCAGGATGTGATCTATGAGCAATCGAAGTATTGCTCAACCTTCTTTTGTGCTGGTGCAACATGTCCAGCTCCTGACCTGCCAGGTACCTTCCTTTGCCAATCAGCATTGCCAATCTGAAACTTGGATGACTCCGTGATGCTTGGCTCATATGACCATACGGGTCTGTAGGGGCCCCTTTGAGCACTTGATGGTGCGATTGTACGCACACCCGCTGTGCATGGAAAACATTTGCTGAGCCTTGCGCTCGCTTCATTTGCTGTGCTGTTTGATTGGTGGGGCTGTGGAAACCCCATTTGGTTGAGAGCTCAATCTGCTACCAGTGTGCACCCGCTACAGAATCCCATATGTATCCATAATATGTTGATAGGTAAATTGCTGCTTAAAATCCATCAGTGACGAACGAATCATCAACCGAGTGGCTTAAGTGCACCAGCTGGGAACCGTGGTCCGTTCGGCACCTGAGACACGCTGAAAGCTAACATAGTTATGGCATAGCTATGGCAGCTATGGAATATGGCCCATCTATAGATGATAAAGATTGATAAAGGTTGTTTGTTTAATGTTTTTAAAGGATATATAATACAGTTTTTTTCTGGGATTTGGTGATGTTCCAGGTCGCAAACTGTCAGTTTACCAGAGGGGTTTGAAACCAATCATCACCTGGGATTTGCTCAAGATGACACCAACAACTAACCGTGAGCCGATGCCAGCTCTGTTGGACAAGGTTGGAAACATATTTGGAAACTGTTGCAAAGCGAAATGTTCGACGTGTGACTCAGCTACTTCATCAAAGGTCCTTTAACAAAAAGAATAGTATACTCAGTACTTGATGGTTCAGCCCAGTTCGTGGCTTCTAACTTCAGCTACATAAGTAGGGTATATAAGTAGTATTCGTCCATTGATAGCGGTGGTTGCAATCCACTTACTGCCAAGGGACAGCTGCTGTAGGCCTTCTCGCAGTTTGCCGGACTTGTCCAAAGTCCTAGAGCCGACTATGGCAATGGGATTTCATCGTGATTTTATGCGATTTTAGGGTGGTCAATGCTCAATAAGGATTTTACCAACAAAAAAGGGGATGCCAATGATCACTACCCTCCGGTATTCAAACATGGCAATGGAAATCCTTCATTCATGGATGATGTTCAAAGATATAAACCTCCATGTAGAGAGGAAATCACCTTTCCATGTTTCATTGCCCGATGTTAATTTGTGGGGTTGTATAGTTACAACCTGTGAAATGGTTGGTATATTTCCATGCAACATCCCTGTGAAAATAGTTGGTTGGGTTATCACCACAAATGGTGATTTAACTGGGGATATCGCCAATGGAATATTGATAGAATAGTAATCATTAAAGAGCCCTAGGCCATTCAAAAAAAGACTCAAAGATTCAAAAAACACTAAAACAAACCAATCCAACAATTACATAAACAACAAAATATATAATCCAAAAATTAAAGAAAAGAAAACAACAAAAGTCTTAGAAACAAAAAGTTCCAAACAAATCTGAAACAAAAAACAGTTTCAAAAAAAAAACAAAAATCGAAGTTTGGAATTAAAATGAAAAGAAAGGAATGTTCTAGGAGTATCCCTATAAGGAAGGAATGTCCCCCACCATAGACAAGAGGATCACCCCAGGAATCGTAAGTGGCTAGTCGGCTAGTGGGGTGAGTTCACCCACGGACATCACGAAGGGACGAAGGACTGATCGTTTGCACCAAAAAATCCAGACATCTTCAGGTCACTATCATTTGACAGCGAAATCCTGTGTTTCACCTAGAATTTGTTGCATCCTTAAAATGTGTGTGTGTATGTATATATATATATAATTATATGTATATACATGTATAATGTAATCACATACATATATATATAATATTTGGAAAAGATTGGGAGAGCGCAAGGTGTTCACTCTATCTTTTCCCCTCACTTTCCAAAAGCTCAAGTCTGGCTATGCCGCTGTAAGTGTTACTGTAACAGTCCACATTGTTATCAAATAACAATGGGTAGAAAAGAGGTTGGGTATCACAGATAACCCTTACACTCTTACAGGTTAGGGTCAAACCCGTCCCAAACAAAAAAAATAGAGGGGAGAATGCTGGAAACCCTACGAAGCCCTCCTTCCCATCACCCCGCAGAGGGGATCAGGGAGAGGAGGGAGGGAAAGAAAAAAACAAAGGTGGGGACGAGCTGGGTGGCTTGAGCCAAAATGGTTCAATGCCACCAGCTGTCCCCACATCCCTTTTCAAATCACATGAGGACCCTTCCCAACCAACCTACTCACATGTAAGATAAGAAACTTTAGGGCCTCATGAAGCACAAATTCAATGATATTCAATGGGTGTTTACCCCAAGGACATGTACTATGGCTACTTTGAAGGTCCAGGTCTGCAGGGTCCTCTGCAGGTACTCCCGGTGTTGACTGACAATGACCTCTTCCACGGCCATAGAGTTCTGGCAGAGCTCAGCGAAGAGTCTCCCGGATGAGGATTGAACAATGATGAAATCTGATGATCTGATGATCTGATGATATGATAAATGGGGGTACCCAAAAATGGCTGGTTTAGAAGGGAAACTCCTACTAAAGTGGATGATTTGGGTGTACCCCCATTTCAGGAAACCTTCAAATGATGATAAACGGAGAATATGACATGATGACTCACGATTAATTTTCATTAGAGCAAACTAGAATCAATTATATAAAGGAAAATGATGAACATGTATGACAAAATGGGAGATCCACGGCCAAATTAGGTCTTGTTCAGGTTGAAGTGATGTTCCAACGAGTCTTTGAAAGCTGGGATAGAAACATTTCCCAACAGCTGGGACAGAGGGACTAAGCAAGGCATGGCCCGAATCCACATCCAATGTCCTCCGTGTGGGTCTGCTTGAACATGGGGTAAAACAATTGCAGAAGCTAATCATTTTCAGGGGGACAATGATGATCAGGCATGAAATTCGAAAAATGCCGAAGTTTCAGACATGGCCCATGGGCTTTCAAGCCAGTTTTCACCTCCAGGTTGTAGTTTCGGATGTTCGGAAGCTTGTACATGTGCTCCGCATCTATGATGGCACAGCCCTGTTCCACCGAACCTCGAGCCCCCGGGCGATCCGGTCCCCAGCAAGTCACTGTCGACGTCTTAATTCGGGGGTACCCCCATTTTGGGAAACCTCCAAATTGCTTCTTCTGTTGGCGACCCACATTTTCCCCATTCGACATGAGATGAACTCTCTATGATTCTCCAAGAATCTGGCAGTCACATGACAAGCTAGAAAATCCACATGTTCCATCCACCATTTAAGATTTAGAAAGATGATTTGACCATTCAAACGTACATATTAGTTCAGGGATTTCCCATTCTAAACCCATGAAAATCACCATCTTTCATCTGTTAACCCATTTTCAATCACCATTCTTCGAAGGTACCCTCTGGTAAACTAACATAACTATATGGAAAATCACCATGTTTAATGGGAAAACTCACTATAAATGAGCCATTTTCCAGTTCGCAAACTGTTAGTTTACCAGAGGGTAAACCCCATTAAACCACCATTTTGTTGGTTAAACCCCATTCAACCACCATTTTTTACCACCATTTTTTACCACCATTAAACCATGATAAAACCCATGATCTACCCATTAAAAACCCATGCCATCCTCCCAGCCCTGCTGCCCCGAAACGCTGGAGTTTCGACGCCACAAAGCGGCACCACACCAAGTCCATGCCATCGCCGCTGCCCAGGCCTGGCCAAATCCAGGGGAAATCCATGGAGAATGCTACGTTTATGGTATGTTTATAGACATCTATAGATGGTTTACCCCATGAAACATGGTGATTTATAACTATATTTATAGATTTATAGATGATTTACCCATATTTACTGTAGGATTTACATGGATTTACCGATGAAACATGGTGATCTAATGGGTTTAAACATCTCAATGGGAAATCTCCGGACTGAATGGAGGTGTATAGCATGGATATAGCTGGGAAAATCAACGAACTCAATGGGATACAGCTGGAACCATCTCCGATTCTACGCTTAAGCTTTTCACACGAATTCGGGTCTGGCGGTTTTTTGTTTTTTTCTCTTGCTCTTCTCCTTTCATCCATTCATCCCCTACCCCATAGGATCCATGTATGGTATACATGGTAACATTTACCATCATTTACCATAGGATCCTGCTCTCCAGACCATCGTTTCACGCCAAACATCGTTTCCACGACCATCATAAATCACGGTGATTCCATTCTGAAAAAACCCACCTGGCAGGTACAGTTTCCAGGCAGTGCGCAGGGACTCAGCTGTGAACATCGGACTCTGAGCCTCCCGAAACGAAAACTGCGAGGAAACCCATTGTGAACTGACCATAGCTACCTAGCTATGGAGAATCTCCATGTTTGAAGGCGTAAATCAAGTAATTACACATGGCAAATGACCATGTCAATAGCCTTCAATAGATATGTTTGAATTACTGGAGGGTATAGGGTAAACCATCTAAATCTTCACTAAAACCACTTGGGGGCGGGGTTCATGACTGTCACATGGTATGGCTTGAGATGGACCAAACGTGGGGATACTGGTCATGTTCGGCGTTCAACACCCAAGTCTTGAACGCAAGTTTTTCGAAAGAGGTTTTCCTGGTTGGTGTAATGTTCCCAACATGAAAATTATTTCGAGATCATCGTCCCAAATAGGTTGAAAATCACATTGTACATGTACTGTATATCTATAATTAAATGTATATATACATAAATACAGTACATATAGATATACATATGTGATCATACGTGTATGTATATATATATATAGTTATACAGTATATATATATAACATATATAGACACATTTTTTTCATATACACATGATCACATAGATATATAGTTTTAATTATAATATGAACATATATATATATATATATGATCTTAATTTGAATGTTCTCAGGAACCCTGAATTGCCGGTGTACTGTTTCATCTGAAGAACTTTCTTGATTTGAACCGATGCACGGATCGAGTCTGCCTCCGGGAGGCCCAGAGGATCGTAAGTTGTCCCCTGAATTATCTCATCCCAGACATGCTAACTGTGGTTACTATAGTTAAAACAATGCCATAAACCGCCCATGACTGGGAATGGTTTAAGTTTATACCACCTATAAAAATGGTGATTTTTCTGGGGGATGGTGCAAATGGCATTGATGGCATTGCTTTACCCACATTACTGTGGTTACTACCCTCAGATGGATGATCCCCCAAAGGATTTCCAAAACTCGAGTCCCTCCTCCACCAGCTCGCTATAGCGATAGAGGCTGCGGCCTGTGTCAAACAACATGGCTGGAGAATGGCACATTTCTGAACGATTTACCATGATTTACCTATAAAGAGCTGATTTCATTGGTTTTTTACTGGGAAATCTCCAAACATAATGGATGTAGCTGGGGATATCGCACTTAAATGGGGGATTCTCCAGCAAACCATGTGATTCACTACCGAAGCGTAAGCGGTGCTAACCAGTTTCATGAAAACAAACACCTGCAGGAAATCTAGAAAAACACATCATGAACAAGGAGGCCAGCGGTTTTATGTGTTTTGCATGTTCCGGGAGAAGAACAAGAATCCAATATCAGTGTGATTTTACCGGAGGGTAGATATATGATCATCATTCCAGAGATGATGAATGATTCCAGAGATGGGTACCCCGGGTACCCCAAATCCCATGCGCTATCGACTGTTATCAAAGTTGGGATCTATAATGATACAGTGCATACAGGTATATATAGATTGAATTATATTATCTATATGTGTATATATATATATATTAGACAAAAACAAAATTATATATATAAACAGTATACAGTATTGCATGATATTGTATGAGACAAAAGGACACAAACACACACGCAGTAAACATGTTTGGAAAATTGAATCATCGTAAATCATCGTCTAAATCGTAATTTTGATCACTTTTGCATCTGTTTCAGGACCCTTTTTCCAATTCTATCAGCAATGGCTGAACAACTCTCATGTTCATCGGGGTCAAAGTTTATGGCCGCCTATGGCGGGTCGGACTCGCACAGCGGTCCATCTCTAGTATCAAGGAACATAAAGATATGAAAGCGCCAATAGACACCCTGATTAGGATCCATCCGTGACTTTCAAGTTCCCAAACTGTTTTTTTCCAGTATAAAAGGGTTTTTAAAGGGTTTTAGTAAACCATAAACCTCACAAACCGTTCATTATCACATGAGTTGTTTTTTCAATCAACCATATCGCAACCCGCATTATGGCCATATGCCAAAAAGTCTAGTCAAATCATCAAAAAAATCCACTCTAGAAGAGCTAGAATAAGTCTGCGTAAATTATAGTATTTCACTAACCTGAATTAAGGCCATTTGGGGATGATTTCCAATACTAACCATTATTATTCCAGTGAGGTCGCAATGAGGTCGTTATAATTTACCCAGATAAGTAATAAATTGACCCTCTATCTTTGTTGGCTGAGTTGGGGCGCTCCTCTTTCAATCCAAAGTTTTTCCCTCCGTTTTTTCGGAGCGAGGCACCATAGGATCCATCGGGCAGCTTCACGCGGTCGTAGGCCATCACAACCTGAGTCCCCGAGAGCTGGATGGTGTCATGGTACGCCTCAAGTTTTTGGCCTGGATAGAACTCATGAAAAAACCAAATGTTTTCTGGAAGATGTTGTTTAACTCATGTTACATTAATATATATATATAAATAACTGTCAGGGAAATGGAATGTTACTGGAATATTTAATGGAATGTTTGTGAAAATGATCATTAACTAGTTTTAACTACCGTGGATCTGGAATAGTTATTCTGACATATTCGTGGAGTCGTGGATTTTCTTTGAATTTCTAGAATATCAATGGCATATTCCAGAGACAAACAATGTGCTCTTGTGTGTATGTATGGGGTATTAACAACAACCACATCTATGAGTTTACTATTATTGGGCGAATCTGAAGCATTGTTTTGGGGTTACCCACCTGGGCGGAAGCTGGCCGAATTCACAAGTTGAACCTCTCGTAATCTAATGATTGCCAATGGACATAGCCATTTCAATAGCTAGAAACTTGTAATATTTTGTAATTATCCAGGGCTATGTTAAATATTAGTTAAATTACTAGAGGCTACATCATGCGTCACCAACAAATGTTGCCGTTTTCTTCTCAGTTGGTGAAACACCCTTCATGGGGATAGTGCTGCCAGGCACGTCATTCTGCGGGATGCCCTGGGTGTCAAACGCCACCTCGGCAGGAGGCGTTTGACAACGTAGGGAATGAGGGAATGGGATGACTGTTGATAGTCATTATGGATCTCCTATTCCCTACGTTTAGCACCAGTCATAGCTTCACCATAAAGGATGAATGTTTGCCAATTTAGCCACTGATGTAGATCCACATACCCTCTGGTAAACCAACAGTTTGCTATTGAAAATGGCCCAGTCAAAACCAATTAGTGGATTTACCCATTGAAAATGGTGGATCTTTCCCATCAGTTTTTTGTATGTTTACCATAGGGTGGATCCACATAGATCCACCAATCCACCCAAAATTCACCAGCCATAGGTTTAAGGGAAATTTTACAGGAAAGCCCCATGATCTTCATGGGAAAATCTATGGTTTCCTTCTATGGTTTTCCCAAAAAAAACAATCCATTGAAAAAGAAACCCCAGCCATAATCAGCCTATGATCTGATCCTAATAGATTGGGTTAATATTCCCATTACCCTCTGGTATACTAACATAGCTCTTGAAAATGGCCATTTATAGTGGATTTACCCATTAAAAATGGTGATTTTCCATAGTTAGGTTAGTTTACCAGAGGGTATAACCACCATTTTCCTATGGTTTTCCTATGATTTTCCCATAAAACCACCATTTTCCTATGGTTTTCCTATGATTTTCCCATAAAATCATTAACTAACCATATCCCAATGGTTAGATCATAGATCCACCCTTAAAATTCTACCAAGGAACGGCTGGCTGAACAATGCTGGCACCCGACTCCATGGCCAAAGCCAAGTATCCTGGCGTCCGCTGATGGCGTCACATCCCCATGGCCAACTTTAAAAACCCTAGGGGGCGCCCATGTAATACATTATTTAAGTATATATTTGTAATATATATGTATGTATGTATGTATGTATGTATGTATGTATGTATGTATGTATGTATGTATGTATGTGTGTATGTGTGTATGTGTGTATGTGTGTATGTGTGTATGTGTGTATGTGTGTATGTATGTATGTATGTATGTATGTATGTGTATGTATGTAATGTAATGTATGTAATGTATGTATGTAATGTATGTATGTATGTATGTATGTATGTATGTATGTATGTATGTATGTATGTATGTATGTATGTATGTATGTATGTATGTATGTATGTATGTATGTATGTATGTATGTATGTATGTATGTATGTATGTATGTATGTATGTATGTATGTATGTATGTATGTATGTATGTATGTATGTATGTATGTATGTATGTATGTATGTATGTATGTATGTATGTATGTATGTATGTATGTATGTATGTATGTATGTATGTATGTATGTATGTATGTATGTATGTATGTATGTATGATGTATGTATGTATGTATGTGTGTATGTGTGTATGTATGTGTGTATGTGTGTATGTGTGTATGTGTGTATGTATGTATGTATGTTGTATGTATGTATGTGTGTATGGTGTATGTGTGTATGTGTGTATGTGTGTATGTATGTATGTATGTATGTATGTATGTATGTATGTATGTATGTATGTATGTATGTATGTATGTATGTATGTATGTATGTATGTATGTATGTATGTATGTATGATATTGTATACATTCATTGTATTGTATCTACTTACCCTACTTACAACTGGTACCTATAGGGCAATGATTCAATATATGTATATATAATATATCTAATGAAGAAAGTAAGTGGGTGTCACCCACTTTCATGAAACTGGGAGGGAACACCAGGTGGGCGTTTTACCTTGCTTAAAAGATGTTAAAGTTTGTACTGTAAACGGTGAGTTAACATTTTTCATCTTGGTACCCAATATCTTTCACCAAGTAGATACTTGCAAGATCGTCTCCATTGTCCTAACTGGTTAGTAAGTATACCTACAAGCTGAACCCCCGAGGATTGTCAAATTGTGCTTGTCGGTTTATCACCCCATTTAGCATATTAGATATATCATGAATTATCATGATATATCTACCACAAGTCCCTAGTTATTATTGAAGCTATAATAGCACCAGCTTAGCTATCCTTTCTTTTGGGTGCACCTTGTAGGGTCGTCCCAGATGTCAGTCACAGAGTTTTCCCTGGGATTTTTGCTGTCCAAATCACTCACAGGAGGCTACTATGGTACTGTCATAGATGTCATAGTATAGCTTTGGTATGCTTGGTCACTCTATAGTTCCAGGGTGTAACACGATCCAATTTGATTGCCAATGGAAAATCACAAATATACAGAAATCAAACATGTCGGCCATTTCTGGGATAATTGCGTATAAAAATCATTATTTACGGTGGCCAAAATGCAGAGCCAGAATCCATACAAAAGGGTTGTGCACATCGCTTATCTTAGATACTCCTGTTAGTTGAAAAGGTATGTTCATACATAAACAATCAAATCATAAATAGAAGATAATCCTATACATTCTTTCAGTTATGCAGCAACCCCCCCGTTTTTAACGGGGTTGTAACTCACTCTATGGCATGTCACCGGCCGAGTTTCTTCTGAGATTCAAATGAGTCAGATCAACATCTTCGTCTGAAATCCAGTACCAGGAGTATCCATTGAGTCCTCGGCCACAGATCTGGTAGATCTGGTGCCATCGTCGGCATCGATGGGATAAAAAAAATTGGGCAATCCCAGCTTCATTCGAGATTCCTGATAAAGATGGATATCACTTATAACTGGCATATTAAGATATATTAAGGCCCATGTCTTGACAGTCTTGACCCTGGCACAAAGGATTTACTTTCCATCAGTATGACCTTTTCGACCGGGAGCCGATCTACTGTCCATATCTTGGTTTGACCACAACTGGGATCCAAAATTCTAGGGATGGACAGAAGAACATCTTTGAAACTATCACACCGGCAAGCCACCAACAACCGATGTAAGCAACCACTACTGTAACCATCACCAATCATTCAACATATCTTATATACATATATGGAGGCTTCCTAAAATAGAAGAACCCCAAATCATCCAAGTCATGCGACCACACTTTCGTATTGAAACCCATGGTTTTTGGGATCCTCCGTATTTCAGCAACCGCCAACAAAACGCGGTGAATAGGGTCGATACCACCTATCTCCATCTCAGAATGGATTTTGTTTAAATGGGTATATTAAGATCCCTATGAAAATGGACTGATGACCATCCCTCAATACGGTGGATGGAAGAAATCCTGCACAATCTTTCATAGTTACCTAGCGCTTGCCAACTGGTGCAGGATTTCTTCCATCCACAGTATTTTCATATCCATGTTTTGAGTTTTGACCATGGCATCTGGATATATCTGGGTAAATTATAATATTTCACTAACCTGAATCTTGCGGCCATTTGGGGATGATTTCCCTTATTAACCATGATTCCCAGTGAGGTCGCGGTGAGGTCGTTATAATTTACCCAGATATATGTAATATATGAATATGAGTAACATATGAGTGCGTCTCAAAAAAGGGAAACCTTAAAATCAACTCATTGATCATCATTGCCCACAAAAAAAACGCACTATTGGAGCACCTGCATCCAATAGTTGGTCTTAGATGGATATACCATATATATATATATATACGTATACGCATATATATCATATATATCATATATATATATATTATATATATATATCATATATCATCAAATTCCTATGAATCTCCGAATCTCCCATAGAATCCAATTTCGAATGCCAATTTACTCAACATTTTTTCTTGACCATGCCACATCTACAAAACCCCCATGGGTTGAAACCAGGTGCCCCCGCTGAACCCCCGCAGAAAACATTCATTTCACCCTCTCCGAGCGTCGAAACGTCTGTTGCTTGACGAGTTCGTTCAGGACGAAGCCCCACTTCGTCTCCTTGTACCTGCTAGCTGGGAAGTCACATGGGAAAACACCATCTGAACATATCTGAACATAGTTAGCTAAGTTGGTGCGTTTGTAACTCCAATTTCACTATGGTTTATGGTAGATATATCTATACTATTCCTATGGTTTATAAACCAACAAACATAACCGCGGGGGCACCGCCTTGAACCATTTGATGGTGATGAATGTGATGAATGGAGCCATAAAACACACCCAGATCCCATCCCAGCCCATTCTACCGGTTGCTGAATGAATGTTAATCAATTCACAATCATCCCCGACAAAAATGATAAACGCAATACGCATCAATATCATCAATAAACCAGATACTATAACTATATCTATAACTCCTGTACTTAACGAACAACCCTTAAGGATATATTTCTCATGGCCGCTGAGTGCCGTGCGAAACACTGTACTTCACCGTCTGCTTGTACCAGAACTCCTTGGATCCGATGACTGGCAGCCATCAACAGCCTATAGAAATGAGGATCACCAACTCTAAGCTTGGTGGTTCATCCCAGTTGGTAAGCAAGTGGATATAAGTGGATAACAAAAACAGGTAGAAGGAGAGTAGGGTTGGTCCAGTTGCAAGTGGGGTTCTAAGCCATGTACTAAGTGGTATCAACATGGAGAAACCATGAGAAACCACATCTGGAAAATCTTCGTTACCACGGGACCATGGTGGTACAACCCACGCAGTTTTCAAATGTCAGGAGTCTCTCTGCCAATCTTCCACGTCCTGTCCTTGGGACACAGGGAGTCTCTCTGCGAGATGCTGGGGTGACACTTGACATCACCACGGCAGCCCATGTACTTCATGGCGTGCAGTGACAGGTCTAGAGCTTCTAAAGTACGGTCAACCTCTGATGGTTGGGGTTCCATGGATTCTCCCAATCTTCATTCAATTTTGTGTCAAACTGATCGTCTTCAACCGCCCGGGAATAAAGACGTCGAATCGCACGAATCCCTGACATTGTCCTTCTCCGTCAGTGGCTTTGTTTCAAACATACATATTATATATATAATTACTGGTTAATTGTATAATATGTGTATAATTGTGTATATACTGTTTAATACTTGTTACAGGAAGGCACAAACAAATAAATCTATTAGAGGAACGCACATATTATTATGTATTATAAAAAGTAAGTCTTTATTCGGCACTAAGTGTCAACAACATCGTCCATGTCTTTTTCATAACATTTTTCCATGATTTTCCTGGTTCAACGTGACGAACGGATCATTTTGGGACCCCCCAGTCGTGGTAGTCCAGTCCAGCCCCAAAGCCGTCAGCTTTCGGTCATCGTTCGGTCAAGCTACGTGGATGCGCTAGGAATACGTCCACCAAGCCTGATAAGAGCTGAAACTCACCGGATTGTTCACCGGTAAATAAAACCACAAACATCCAGGAAACCATGATTTTCTAACCAGAATTAGTTGTCTTTTTGAAATATCTTGAGATATAATTCATTTGTTTTTTTGCAGCAAAGCATGTATGCTATAAACATCTATAAACTACCAGAGGAAAGTAGGCTGCATGGGACTGGACACGGGCAAGCCTGCAAAGATCCTGGTTTAAGACATCGTCATTTGGGAAATCCTGGATTTTCTTTGTTGAAAACTAAAGGAAAAAACATGACCATGGACCATGACGTTGGTCTAAATCTGTCTCTCCCCATGTCGACACAGCCCAATGACGTTGTAGTAACCCCCCCAAAGATGCCGAGAAGAACCGAACTTCATGGAATTTCATGGAATTGGATAGACTTAAGAATTCAATACATATATATATATATACTATATATACTATATAGATATACATAGATATAGATCTACTGTATTACTTTTCGGCATCCCAAATGGGGGGTTTACACGATATCTTCCTCTGTTGTCTCCCATGGTCCCACCAGCTCCGCCTGAGGCCTGAAGGTGCAAAGCATTCTGCTTCACTATGTCCCTGGTGTTTTTTTTTCGCTGGCTGTGTGTCCCACGTTGTTTTTTTTCCACACATTGGATCGAAATGAAGGTACCAACAATCCAAAAGATTTTTATTGTCATTCTTAGGGATTGCCCTGGCACATCTCGGCACTTTCTTCTGTTTGAAACCACGGTTTTTTTCAAACCACCAGTTCTCAAAACCCTGCAAACTTTGACAGTTTTTGACTGTAGCTGTCCCAACTCACCCTTTGGTTGCAGATTGTGGTCGGATGGTGGGTATAATGACAATGAGATAAAACTAATGCTAAAAAGAATCGCACCTCATTTTCTCAGACATGGATCGTCTAATTTTAAGTTTCAGTGTTTTGTTTACCACATTGTTGGGCAAATTGTCATTGTTTTTCAAATCAAACATAAACCTAGTTTGAGGTGTCTCCCCATTACTATTCTTATTGATATTGTGTTGTGAAATTTCTCCAAACATTACACAGGATCCCTGAACATCCCTGAACATCCCTCAACATTATGGGTTTGTGTGAAAATGGGGCGTCCCTAATTCCAAGGCTGTATCATCATGTTGAGATTTCCTAAAATGGGGTTACCCCAAAATGGTTGCTTTATAAGTAGACAAGCCATTACAATGGATGATTTGGGGGTAGCCCTATTTCAGGAAACCCCCATGTTCCCTATCAATAAAAACTCTTTCGGGGTATGTGCCATGACACACCCATATGGTGCTCTGAGTTGCAGGGGATTGGCTATAGCGGCTTTGGTTATCCCCACCATCATTTTTATTTGGGTATGGATCAATACCTATTAATACCATTTTTAGGGGGATGAACATCCATTTACCAGCTATTTTGATGTTCACCAGGGGTACAAGGTTTTGACCCACTGCCATTTGAATCAACTTTAATTCATGGATGCATGGTAATTTTAAGCTATACCTCTATCAAAATTTGGACTGATGAACATGTATAATAATTAATGGGTATATCGCTAGTATATCATCCAAGTCTTGACCAACACACGTAGATCTGTTATATCACCGAAGCTAACAACATCTTCATAACATCAATAGAAATATCCAAAAATCGGTTTGGACTGATCCTCGAGGGCTTGGCTCTCTCTGAAAAAAGGCTACTCCAAATTCCACCTTGACATTCATTGACATTCATTGACATTCATTGACATTCATTGACATTCATTGACATTCATTGACATTCATTCCTCATTTGTGGTGCAAAATCCCAATCATCCCATTAATATCCCATTAACATCCATTAATCAGCCCATTATCCCAATATATCCCAATCATAATCATGAATTATCCCAACAGTTACCCCACTCTGTCCATCTTTTCCTGGTGGCAGCCCGTAACCTCCCGGCCCAGCTCCGCTCCGCCGCTCCGCGTCTCGCCTGAACTGCGCATCGACGGCCGAGAAGAAGAGCGCGCCGGCAACGCCGGCGTCGGATGCAGCGCTCGGAGCTCCGGGCTTCAATGGGCCTCCGTCGAAAGGCCATGGTGACAGGGCCAGTTTTAGGAAGTTTATAGTAGCCAACATGTTGGTGATTGAACCAGATATGTATGTATATATATATATATATGTATATAAATATGTATATATATATATATATCTATATACATATGTATATATAAATATGTATATATATATATGTATATGTATATATACACATATATGTATATATATATATACATATGCTTGTCAATTGGGATCATCCTCCCATTCTAGGGTTGAAAATAAGAATCATCATACTGAAACCAGAAACCAGAAATCCGTGGATGCGATAAAGAGAAACTTGTGGGATATATATATATATATATTAATATATACCCTCTGGTAAACTAACATAGCTATTGAAAATGGCCATTTATAGTGGATTTACCCATTAAAAATGATAATTTTCCATAGCTATGTTAGTTTACCAGAGGGTACATATATATCTGTACGTATACTGACACTTCTCTAAGTTCCTTTTCCCGGATTCGGACGAAAATCAGCTTCACTGCGTATTTACAAGACTCCGCCTTGTCAGTACGACTTCTATTGAATGGGATATTGGAGTGGACCACTGATATCTGGGGTCCCTTAGAATGGGCGTATTTAAGATTAGTGGAACGATGTGGGGCTGGGATTACGATTGGCTTGACATATTATTTCTGGGCCAATTCACTGGAATAATTATGAGGAATTTAGAGGAAGCCTTTTACTTCTTGTAAAATGTCCACTCATCCAATTTTGGGAAAAGAAACATGTGCAACAATGATGAACAATGCATATACATATCCCATCTTATCCCAGTCCTCCACACTTCTCTATCTATTTTGGATCATGGATCGGAGATCATCTTGGATTTCTATGGGTAGCCCGGAACCTCTGCTCTAATATCGGATCTAATAATCTAATCGTTTTTTTGGGGCGTGTTCAAGGAGGAATCTAATGCTAGGGGCATCGAATTTTCATAGGATATGACGGAATTATATTACGTAGCTCATGATGTTCATCCAAGGTGCTGTCAGTTTGTGGCCGAATGGCCACAACCAAATGCAGCCATAACAAGAGGTAGCCACGGTGAACGCATGGCATTTTACAAACAACCGCCAGCCATGGCTTGAACCATGAACTTGCGAGGACAAGAATAAAGAAATGATGCCATGATTTTCAAGCTCCCATAGTTCGCTGGAGTAAAAGTATAGTTTCCTATGCATCTTCCCTCAAGCCAATCCATACTAATTTTGGATGGCTTTTGAGATATTTAAATATATGTATAAATATAATATATATTCAGATCTCCTTTGAAGTGGGTCAGCATTGATATTTTCATGGAGCTGGGAACGACCTGAAATCCGGGGAATTCTCAGATTCTCGGTCCCAAAACCAGCTGTTTAATAGGGATTCCCATACCCATTAAATTACATGGATAGTGAATAATATTGTCCCCAATCATATCCAATAATTATAGTAGACAACACCCTTAATATCCTTTAATCAACCAACAGGATTTGGGATTTGGGGCTGCAGCTGTCGAATCTTCCACGCTGGACGTCTCGATTTTTCCGCTGCGCCTGATCCATTCAATGACCGTCATCATTCGATGACGGGCCGAACGGATTCGACGACTTCGGTCGCCTGTTTTCCAAGGTTTGCCATTCAAGAGGTTCTTCAAGCTTGCACCTCCAATCACTGGACTGCACCTCCAATCACTGGACTGGTTGTACTCGAAACCTTAAAGAGAACCATGGTTATCATATATGTTGTCATGCCCTCACAGAACTTCCATGACAAGGGTGTGTTGTATACTCTTTCCCTTTAATTTTTTCTTGGATCCAAGATGATCCAAGTTCAATCTGCAAACCTGTTGGGTGAAACAGCTGCAGGATCAACCAAAAATTACGGTCCATCCTGCCCGTTGCCGCATCAGCACTTCATGGGCGGCCTTGCCCTCGGCGGTTTCACCGGGCCCAGCTCCCGCCCTTGCACCTCGCGGCTGGCCTTGCGTGGCCGCTCCCGTCCCACGGCCGAGTTCACCGAGCGCTTCTCCTTCCGCGGCGTGACCTGCTGCGGCCAGGACTGGTGGAAGGCCTCCGCCTCGCCGCGGCACGCCTTCCACGGCCCCGCGCGCACCGGGGGCAGCGAAGCCTTGGGCGTCCCCACGGCAGGTGCTGGGGCCATGGCGTCTGCCAATGGGAGCCTGAGGTCGTCCAGTTTGGGGAACTTGGAGCTCCAGGGAGAGGCGTTGGTGGATTTCTCCTTCTCTGGCTCTTTTCCTGGCATCATGAGATAAAGATGATAAAGTGCAACATGGGATCATGGGCTTTGGCTGGAGACAAATCTTGAACATCATTTTGTAGGACACCCCAGCTTGAATTTCAGGGATATTGGTGCATCACAGCTTTCGTGCGGTTCTTTCGAATATATCGTGCTGTCTGTGGGTTGCTCCACCGTGGCAGCTACCCTGTCCTGGGACGAAACACCAAGATCCATGGCAGCTCCAAATCACGGCAGCTTGCTCTGATGAAGACCAAAGTGCTTGGCACCGGCCCAGCTCCTGCAGGGCGGCCAGGATGAGATCGGCAGCATCTGCCGAAACACCCCAGAAGAACAAGCGGACCTATTTTCAAGCATATCAAGCATCCAATCAATACAGGCTATCTCATTCTTGCTCTTAACAGTGGGGATCCCCAATCCCCGAAACACCAAGCAGGTCTTCCATGAGCTTTGTGAGAAGCCAGAGCAGCCCGATTTTTTCCCAAGCAGACTGCACAAACAGGTCTGCCGTCGTCCGAAGATTTCAAATTAATAATGTTTGCATGTTGTCCCCGCTATACAATAGGGACAACGATGGCATTGGCAACCATCTCAAATTATCTGCGCTTTGTTCACCGCAACCATCTCAAAATATCTGCGCTTTGTTCACCGCGGAAATCCGTAAGGGTTAGGGAACCACCCTGTTGCGGCCATACCATTTTATAAGGGAACAACACCTCTTGCCTCGAAGAGGTTCGACCAGTCAGTCCTTATACTGGCTCGACGACGGAAGACTGCTCTTGAGCCTTCTTAACTTGCAGCCGTTTTTGGTGTGTCCAAAATGTTTCCCACCAAAAGGTATCGACTAGTGTGTCAAATTTAAAGGGCCACAGGCGCCACAAAAAAAAGTACACTTGGTTTCTTGGATGCTTAAGTCTGTTTTTAGTGTTTTTTCCCGGTAATTCTACAAGGTCTCATTTTAGACCCACCAGTAATTCAACTTATATCCTGCCGTTGTCTCACCTATGCACGGGAGGCCTCTGAAACATTGCCAACCGCGGTGGACGCATCCGCGGAGTCCTCCGAGATCTGTTGGGCGCCCTTGAGGCCCTCCTTGCTGGACGGATCGTGACCACAGACCTTCTTGCCATACCACGCCACCTGAGATGAAAACACCGGAGAAGGTCGGTTTCGAAAAAATGAGGGGATTGCGAAATGAGATATGTTGAATGATGATGTCTGTATGGGCGCATTAGATCCATTGGGAAAAAATGGGAGATGTTCTCAGGCCGGGATTTTTGGGGTAGCCCCAAAAAATCACAACCTTCGCAGCAAGAAAACGCGCCTTCAAGATGGCCCAATAGCTGACCATTGAATACATCACCAGGCTGGGCCACATCAAAATCCAGTCCTTGAGATTCTGGCAGAAGGTGCTATCCTCAGCGCCCTGTGGTTTCATCTTCAAGTGATAAATCAACTTGCAGCCCTCGCGGTCCAGGTAGAAGAAGATCAAAAAGACCAAGTAGGTCCAAGCCAGGCTGGAAAATCCTCTCACGAAACACCGAAACACCCAGAATCTGACAGAATTAGTAGGATATAGTCACTTGCAATGATCATCTCAAGATTCGGGTTCGGAAATTCCAAAAAAATAACAAACAGAAAACAGATAAATAAAAACAGTCCTGCAATCATCACCCCATAGTTGGCGGCATCATCCAAGGGGAGCTGACCTGTGGATTGTCCCATGCGATCGATGGTGTCACGCTTGGCACCGATCAAGGCGTAGTTGATGAAGCCGGCAAGGCCGGTCAGGGTCAAGGAGCACAAGATGAAACCATAGTAGATCACCTGGCTGCGTTTGTCGGGGATGTTTGTATATATATCCCAATGAATACATCATGATATATTAATATTTATATGTATATTATACATATATATTATATATATAATGTATATGATATATATATATATATTGTATATGATATATATATATATTGTATATGATATATATATATCATGACATATCCACCATAAACAGAAATCAAAGAAATCACCTAGTTCTAAACCAAACTGACCGCGAAGTTCTTCGAACAGCGAAGCGATGCTTGGGGCAGGGCCCTACAGATTTCCCAACGCTGGATTTCCCGAGGTAAAAGATCACAGATTCGCCATTTCACTGTGCTTGGTTTATTATGATCATCTATGGTAAATTATGGTAAATGAATGTAAATGATCATATTTCACTCAAAAGTTCGGCCACCAATCTTGCGGACTTCTGCCCAACCCTTGAAGAGTTCGGCCATTTGGGGGTGATTCCCCTTTCTAACCATGACTCCAGGGTTCGGTCACGACGTGAGGTCACTATAACTTGCCCAGATATAACAAAAAAAGGATTGGCAACCCCCAATGTCTCACCATGAATCTGGGTACCCTCTGGTAAACTAACGTAACTATGGAAAATCACCATTTTTAATGGGAAATTCCACTATAAATGGCCATTTTCAATAGCTATGTTAAATTACCAGAGGGTATAGTCTAGTATTCAACCCTCACTTAAAATCGGAGAAAGCCCTCTGGCTTTGTTTGAACATCGGCAAAATCATGCCGTCATCCACGGTGGGACTCCAGCCCGCGAAGTTGCTGAAGTCCAATAGCTATAGGCTGGAGGGGGTAGCATGTTATAGCATGTTATAGCTATAGTTCATGGGGATTGTAAAGCAACAAACATAACTGGGGGCACCATAGGAGTTGGAGGTTCTTACAGTAGGAGTTGGATCGCAAGCATCTCCCCTTCCAGCCAGGCCACAAACCAGGTGCCATATGACATGGCGGCGGAGCAGTTGTAACGCCTGCGCTTCACCACGAAGTAGTGAAAGACTTCGCAGGCGCCAATGGTCCAACGTTCGGATTGGCGGAACCACTCACTGAACTCCTCCCACCTAGGAGTTGGATGGATTTGGATGGTTGGGTCCGTAAAAATGGGGGGCCCAACGTTGCAATTTCAATGGGATCAGGGATTTTATGAGAATGTAATTGGGTATGTATATATATATGTATATAGTGGGATCGATAACCAACACACCACTATTTGGGTCCAAAAATGTGGTGAGTCAAAAAAGAACATGACATGTAGATAGGGAACATGAACGTCAGTGGATCTGGCTGAACTATGATCATTCACCGGAAATGAGGTGATGTTGGGTGCCTGGAGCCTAAAAGATATGGAAACTGCAACCAAAATCAGACATGGTGAGTTGTTCCAAACTTAGAATCCCAACATCCAATGGTAATCATTCAATAATCAAAAGCATTTCATGATTTTCCTCACAAAAATGCCATAGCTTAGGTTTTGCTGAATCATCTTCAGACAAACCCAAATCAAAGTGTTGGTTATAGATCTCATTATATCTCCATAGAATGTTTGGTGTAGACCCGCTACACCCATACGCCCAAGTCCTTGCAATGTTTGCGTTTGACAGCTATTCCCAATCAAAACGCTCGCCACGACCCCTGTCCCGGCACAGACCTTGCAAAACCCCTTTCCCCATTGGAAACGCTAGCTTTAACAAGCCTTGACCAAACTATCATGGTTCTATTATGTTCTATTCGTTTTTGATCGAATCCCATCGGAACGCCGGTTTCCAACGGGCCTTTTTTCGTGGGCACTGTTGACGCCCACAAACAAAAACGCGAAGCAGGCCCTTTTCCTAGTTTGTATACTGCAGGATGGGTTCTGATAAAGGAAAAAAACGAGGTCCAAAACGAGGTCAAAACGAGGTACGGAAAAAGCCCCGCATCTACACACATGGACTTTGGCCCGCAAGCCGCAAACCTGCCCTTCCTTGGATCACTGGTAGCGAAACAATGACAATTTGCAGAATCCCAGCACACCGCCATGGCAGTGTAGAGATGATAATCCCAGCGTTGGGTAGAAGTACCCGGAAACAGCAACAGCAGCAGCCGTCGAACCAGCAGCCGCAGCAACAGCAAGACGCCAGTAGCTGCAGAACCCAACAGCAACCATCCCAAACACAATGAGAACGCAACTAGCAAGATTAAAGCACTATGCTAATAGTGAAACAACGCCCTACCCCAAACACAACCTAAACGCCGCTTCGCCACTTTAGGTCAACATGAGATAGTAAAACAGCAACCTACCCTAAACACAAGCTAAACGCCGCATCGCCACGACTTCCACAAAAGCCTTCCCCCAAGCTAATTTCAAGATTTTTGGGATTTCGCCACGACTTGGGCAGTTGGGAGTATATTCCATGTTCCCGTCATATACATCCCGTATACATGTATGTACATATACCAGGATATTCCATGTTTTAGGGCTCTCCCCCCATTTCAAAACCATTGGACTATATCTGGGCAAATTGTGCTAGTTCGCTAACCTGAATTAAGTATTGGGATAATTCCCCGAATCCTAACCATGATTCCAGGGTTTGGTCACGACGTGAGGTCAGTATAATTTACCAAGATATAACAAAACTATACAAAACTGGTCTAATTTCGGATGATTTGGTGGTACCAGCATTTTCGATATTTTCGGAAACTTCCATACCAGGCCCATTTCAAAAACATTCAAAAACCATTGGACTCTCCGACCCAGCTACTGACTGGTACCTGACGTAGGACCAGAGATCACAGGCATAGGAATCATCAAAATCTCCACACGCTTCTGCAGGGCTTGCATGCCTTAGAGATGGATTCGAAAGATTCCAGCCGATTTTTTGGGGATTTTTTGGTGTGAACAAAATTGAACAAAAACAAAGATTAAATGGATTAAATGCTGGGATTTCTGAAAAAGCCGATTTTTGACATGCTGCAGTTTCACCGGATAAAAATTGTTTAAATGGATTAAAAACTAGAACCGACCAGGCAAGTACAAGATGCAAGTAAGGGTGTAGATGATATCATCCATCTGATAGTGCGCATGGAAGAACTCACCCTTGATGCACAGGTCCAAGGAAAAGCTGAAGATCGACATGGTGTTGATGTTGAAAGGGATTAGGAAACCCAGCATGTAGGCGGCACGCATGATACCAATGGCCCGTACATAGAAGGGTCGCTCATTCAAGAAATGGTTGTAGTAGAGTGGTGCCTGCCACACCACTTCCTTAGCCTTGGGGGAAGTCAGGAACTGATAGCCCAAGTTCTCAAAATAGCGCGGCGCGAATATGGAGTCCGTATCACAACTGGTGGCGGTGGTGCAGCTCAAATCCAAATCACCATATTCCTCCAGGGTCTGAAAAGATGTGGACTCCAGATGCCCAACCTGCCCATTCCAACTTTGATGGATAAGATTTCTTGGGGATCGGGCAAACTTGGCAAAATCCCGAAGCATATATGGTTTACCATCACTTTGACTTATTGATTCAAAAATATGTCAAAAGCAATGCAAGCAAAATGGTAAAATCACTTAAAATTTTTGATGCCAACCCAGATTGGTAAATCCTGTTGACTGATTGGGGAGTACCGCTAACGGGATATATTCAGTTGTACCCTCTGGTTATGTCAAAATAATAAAATAGCTATTGAAAATGGCCATGTAAATAGTGAGTTTTCCCAAAAAAAAACATGGTGCATCTTTCCATCGTTATGTAAACGTTTACTCTGGAAATTGGTCGCTGGTCGCAAAATCATTGTCCTGGATTTTTTTCGGCATCAAATTCCTGGGTCCCATTTTTTTGTTCGGACGCTTTTGAAATGTTTGGAACACTATTGGTGATATATATATATATACTATATGATATCCCCATGATTCTTAGTAAATCTTAGCAACAAAAAGACTGATATTATATAACTATGATATCCCCAGGGTCTTTACAAAATGTTATATCGTTTTTTCTGCAGAAAAATCCAGCTCCAGGGTCCACCCAGCTCCATCACCCGTATCTCCTCCAAACGTGTTACCGCGGCACGCATGGTGTAGTTGGCATTGGAACATTTGCCGCGGATCTCTCGGCCGCCGGCCCACTGCTTGGGGTGTTTGGTGACCTTGGTGCCCGTGGGATCCGGTAGAAATTGGGGCAATGGAAGCTCCGTTGGTGGTGCAATGTGCCCATCTTGAAAAATATGAGTTCGTCAATGGGAAGGATTATATATCCCATATATCATGGAAAATAAAAGCCATGTTCCAAACCACCAACCAGTCCATGTATTGACATACCATTTTCTAACCAGTAAATATGGGGATTTACACTCGATTTTACCAATGGATTTACCAGTCAAGGTGGGGATTTCCCATGGATTTTCCGGCCATTCGTTGGTTTTGTCTCCCATGATTTACACGTCGTGAATCACGTCAGTGTCCGAGGTCCGACGCCGCCACGTCACATGGAAGCGCTTGAAGGACCTTGCGTAGCGTTCCTTCAACCTGGCCGTGGATGACGGGCACCGGGGGAGGTCTCGTGAAAACTAAGCCATAACTTAAATGGAAACAAAAACAACTGCAGAATTTGGTGGTAAAACCATAAAGGCCATAAACCGATGACTTTTTCCCTTCACCACATTCTTTGTGTTTCTAGTCTATATCTGTGCTTTCCTTGGTTTTGTCTTGGTGTTCATGGTTTGATTCATGTTCATCTTTGTAAGTTTCATCCTCATTGTGTTGCTAGTTTCAAACAAACTGTGTCTGCACTTTTGGTTTTGCTGTATCCCCACTGTTGTAAACTCATCATCTCCCAGCTTTGTTGGCGAATCTGCAGTCAATCTAATTGGGGATCATCTGCCCAAATTGGAAATACAAAAAGATTATGTGAAACCACCAGCCGTACATATATACATAATACATGTATAATACAAAATATATGTTTTATCACATTAATTACATCTATATATACATATATACACATAATTCTACAATTATACATGTTATAGGATATGATTATATAATATATACATACATTATGTATATCAGCATTCCAATTTTTTCTTTTTTGGGCCCCCCTGTCATGGGGCTTCGAAAACTCCCGCCCCAGCATGTCTCACCTGGCAGCTTTCTCTGCCACATCGGGGGTCCCCTCTTCCAAGCCAATGACCACGATCAAGCGATGCGCCACAGACTGTGCGGCCAGGGAATCAATGGATTGGCAAATCACCTGCCAGATGTAGCGATGTAGCCGATTGATGTCGCCAAGGTGATGGGATAACATGGGATAACAATCAAAATTTGGAGATGTCATGAGATTTCACCCATCAAAATGTGTTTTTTGATTTGGAATTGATTTATAGCTAACTTGGTTGGAGTTCCACTATCCAAATCGCTGCATCGCGAAATACGCCGCTCAACTGAGGATTGTCCATTGGCACCTCAGTGTGTCTAGAGAAGGTAATCATTCTACAAAGGGGGATACACAAGTGGAGGTTTCCTGAAATGGGGGTACCCCCAAGTCATCCATTTGTTCATGGATTTGACATGATTTGACATAGAACAAAGCCAATTTCCAAGGAAAAAACTATAGTAACTATAACTTAACTTAGCGTGATACCTGATCATGAAGTTGAAAGCGGGATGAACCATTTCCCATCATTTACAAACATTCATTGGGGCACTGTCATTCCACTTGATTATCTTAAGATTTTAGCTATAAAACCAGCCCCACACCATATCAAACCCATACGCGGGACGTAATCTATAATGTTGCACACAGCGGATGCACAAAATGTATTCCTAATGTGACTTCGCTTCTGCAGGACACTGTTTTCAAGTTCGTCACCGTTGCAACCCCGAAAGCTTTCCATTGCGCCAACGGTTACGTGCCAATTGACTGGTACGATTCTATTGGCGCAATCGTAGCCAGCTTGTTCAGAGTTTCTTGCCCGATTGGTTGTTCTTCAATTTACAGTAGCGTTGTGCAGCATGTCAATTTTTAGTTTTTCAATGGTCCCTCGCAAGGGAACCCAAAAATTCCAGCGCAGGTCCTGCGCTGGAATTTTGAGGGTCCCCTGAGGATTTGCGGACTAGTCAGATGAGGTCTCCTCCTCTCTATTTCACCTCGTTTTGCACTGTCCCTAATTATTGCGTTCCTTCTCCACTCCTCACCTGCTGTGCTGTGCCTTGTTGATATCAATGTGTTTGCCATGACATTTATCAAAATATGTTCAGGTACAATGTCATAGGGCAAGAAGTGGGACCAACAATTTGCCTTATTACCCTCAAAGCTGAGGGTTTTACAGGTGTATGCCGAAGATATGTATGCATACAGTAATTGGCTTTGATTCCTATATGTAAAATGCTGATTCCATTATAAACCATCCATTTGGGGGTACCCCCATTTCAAGAAACCCCCAAATGAACATGTTTGGGTATGGATTAAAGATTCTCACAGTCAAATCAGCTGGTTGGATACCAACAGCATCGACAAGCCAACACATCTGTGGGTGTACTGTGCGAGCCCTCGATTTTTGGCCATGCTCAAATAAATTTCCAAGTAGGCCTCAAACCGAAACCATTCACAACCACAAATTAGCAGAAATGAGACTTCAATCAATTACCTATTTTTGGCCGACGGATTTCCTGTACATGGACTTTCAAACCGGCTTGGGTAAGTGGTCAAGAACCTGTATCACTTAGTCCAACAATGGAAGATTGGTAAGCCCCAATTTATGGCAATTTCATTGGGGGAGATATTGGGGATAAAACATGATGAAACCATAATGTCTTCCCAAAACAGGAATGGAAATCGAGCCAGCCTCCATAGGCTCCTTGTAGCCGCACATCATCACCAAGTGCTGTACGTTGTCCGCCAAACGCCTCTCCTCTTCGGTGTTTCGGGGGATCTTGTCCTCCCAAGTATCATCCACCTCGGATCCCGGATGGATGGTACCCTGTCATAGCTGGATGTTGATTATGTGATCTAATAGAACTTACATACACCGTATAATGTGGTAAACCCAATGCCATAAACATCCATAAACCATCCCCGAAATCACCATAAACGGGTTCTGTAAAACATTCCAAAATGGATCAAAATGGCATGTTTTGTATTGGGTTTCTCACATAATATATACATATTAATTACATAATTATATATATATATGGTAAACTCATTTTTAGAATATATATATATATATACGCATATGTATATATATATGGATTTGAGTTTAAGGTTGTGTAACCCTCCAAAACCAACCAAAAAACACGTAACAAAAAAAAAAACGTGGCGCACCAAAAATCTCCAGGCACCACCCTCTTCATCAGGAAATTCGCCTGAAGGGACCGAACTGCGCAAACGGTGAGCAGGAAAGCTCCCAACCATCCGACAAAGAGGCCGTAGATGGCGGCAAAAATTGGGCAAAAAATGTCGATCCACAGAGGGAGGGGAATGATGATGAAGTCGAAGATCAGGAACAACAAATTCCATCGCATGATGATGTACCTGGCAGTTGAGCAAAGCAGTTGGACCGGTTCAGGAAAACGAGTTGAAGTGAGGCTTAAAATGTGCCAGCGTCAAGAGGCTTCATCCTTCCAAAGGAGTGTAAAGACATACCGAATGTGAGATACCCTGTAAGGAACTTCACTTTGAACTCGTTACTTCTGGGAATAAAACTTGATTTTAGCTACTGCACCCAATCAAGGATTCCCAAACAAGTGCAAAAATATCAAAGGCAAACAGCTAAAGAGGTAAACCATCAACCGTCCGAAAATTAAGGTTTATGAACTTGGCTATACCCCAAATGAATACTTGGGATAATTTTAAAAAACTATTGGCTAGAACAATATCGTATATCATCATATCAATTCATATCACATCAATCTCAAGCAAGGGAACTCGTTCTCCTTCACAACCTGCTGCTTCTCATCCACTGCATACTGTCCCCTGGGTGCAGTGGTGAAGATTCGCTGCCACCAACTGGGTTGCTTCTGGGCCGCGGGCTGAGACATGCTGACGGGATCCCAACTTAAATGTGCCAAATGCGACGGGCGCGTCGAGTCGTCGAGCCAGGACTGGGCCAAAAACACTGTGCTGCGGAATGGATGTGATTCAGTGGTCTGTCACGCGCAAAACGAAAGATAAACAATTGATCTAATTATATCGTTATACCATATATTTGAGTAGGAATTCACTGTTCTATCTTTTTTGGGGGGTTACTTTTTTCAGCAGTGTTCCTCTTAAAATCATCGGTCCAGTGGTCCAATGGTCAACAAGTGGTCAATATCACAGGCCAGGAAATCTCTGGAAAGCCAATTTTACACAGCTAACATTTGGTGAACTAACATAGCAATGGAAAGATCCACCATGTTTAATGGGAAAATCCACTATTTCTATGGCCATTTTCAATTGCTATGTTAGTTCACCAGAGGGTAACATTTGGGGATGGTCTTTACCGCGAATTGGAGGTTTCCTGAGTCATAGGGCTACCCCCAGTCATCCATTTAGAGATGGATTTTCCATGAAATAAACCATCCATTTATAGATGGTGCCCCCATTCCAGGAAACCCAGGAAACCCCCAATTGATGGTAAAATAGTCATGGGCCAGGCGTGCTTGGGTGCGTCCTTGGGGATGGACGTCTCTAGTTGCTCCCATCGCATGGACTGCAGCTGCAACAGCCAGCCTTGGAGGAAGAGTTGGGTCTGTAGAAACGGGATATCTTGGGGATTTATAGGGATATCACGGGGATATGATGGGATATATCATGGGATATTATGGGATATAATAGGATTTGTCATCTGCAAATCTTACATAGCTATGGAATTTTGCGCCATGTCTGTAATTGGTATGCCACTTTCCATATCTATGCCGGAAGTCACGAGCCTTCATAGAAAATTCCCAAAATCTCTGGTTCCGTAGGGCTCAAAAAAATGGAGCCATCAGAAAGATGGATGAAATATCGCCACCACAAAAACAGCCTCACAGGTATCCTTGCGGTATCCAAGGTGCAATCTCCCAGCTGGCCAGTGGCATCCATGCCCCCGCAGATCAGCATGGCATCACCCACCTGGGGATCTCATGGGGTGAACAACCATTGGGATGACTCTAGTGGGATGTCATCGGGATGTCATGGGTAACCACCATCTCATAGCTGACATAGAAAAAACTGGATTTCTCCCCATTCTTATTTGGGAAATCAACCATGAATGGACATGACTCAATAGCTATTTAAATCATCAAAGTCATCAAAGGCTACACCAAAATGGCAATTTTCATAGGGACACTGACTTCCTAAGGTTAACAAAAAACCGTCCCCAAGGTGCTGAACATGGTTTCATCATCATTTCCCTATGAGTTTTATAGACACCCAAAATCTCATATCGCTGGTTATACCCCCCAGTATATCTCTCCAGTATCGTCCGTGTTTTTACCAAAGAGGCCATGTCACTTGTAGACTTTGCACGTCTACAAGGTTTTGACCCATCATGACTTTATCTGATCATCGATCCATTGAATATTATTATATCATATTATATCCCGTTTTCTCATATCCCACTAATATTCACGTCCATCCCATTCATAATGGAATATCATGGATGTAACACAATCCAAAAAAGTCCATCATTTCCAAACTCACTTCACCAATGGGTATTGGTCAAAAACTTGGGCCAATGATTGGATGCGAGTCAAAACCCTGTGACCCTAGGTAACCTAAGTCATAGCTAGTTAATGATCTTAATGGATGTTGATTAAGCTTATTCCCCCAGTCATATGGAGGTTTCCTAAAATGGGGGTACCCCTAAATCATCCATTTTCATAGGATTTTCCACTATACACCAGCCAGCTATTGGGGATATATATATATATTATATATAATACAATATATATATAACATATATATATATATATTATACATATTATACATATTACACAATACAGAAATTATCCATGAAAATCAAGCACTAGTTCACCATTAATTCACCATCAATGACTTCACTGGATCCCCGCACCATACAGGCGCCATGTCCCCAGCGTCGCGCTGGGGCGCCGCCTGCGCCGCATCACGACGTGTTGGACAACCGGGCGGGCATGGCTGGATCAAACAAAAGTTGGAGCTTGGAGACATTACCCTCTGGTAATTTAACATTTCCCACTATTAATGGTAATATTAAATAGCTACGTTAAATTACCAGAGGGTACCAATCTTACATACTCTTTTGTTTTTAGCTGGTGATACTTGGTGAGTATATATAGATATTTAAGTAGATATTCCTATTCTGAATTTAATCATCTTTTTTTTCGCAACAGATTAAAACAGATGCAGTTGACGACTACCCCATTCACGGTTGACCTAGGAGACTTAGAACCAACAAAAAACTAAGTGGATGAAAGTTCAAAGTTCCATCTGATCATCTGTATCAAAGCCAGACCATTCAAGTGGTGACCTTTCGAATTCTTTTGATATCCTTGGATGCCCCAGAAATTGAACTGCCAGGAGAAAAAACATCAGAACTGGTTAAGATCAATAGCAACCAAGAGGTAGCCTCAAGTTTCATTGAAAGCCCGGTGGATTCCTGCCTCTGACATTCCAATCTCTAAATTGTGAGCCATGACCCCAACACTCGGCATGTCGGCATGTTCATCTCTTTCTTGGGTGGTTCTATCCTCATATCGTTGCTTGGTGAACAACGTGTGCCACGGTCAAAACCATGTGGGTTTTTCTGGATGGTCATCCATCCCATCTGACTCCCATAGATGTTTGGACCAAAAAATATCAAAAAGCCACCGATGAAAATCCCGCGGAAAAAAAATAAGTTGACCAGCAACTGACAAAAACTATGACTAGGTATTCACGGCAGACGATGATCCCCACAAGTAGAGTATTACCGGGTTGATGACCATCCCCCAACATCGCCATTTTTTCGCGCCTGTCAGTGTTGGACGCTTCCAGCCACCAACTGCCTGGCATAGAAAAAGATGTGCGAAAGTCCCTGGAAAAGATGTGTCCCTAGGAAAATGAATTTTCAAATGATCTACTTTCATGGTGGTTTTTCCACATCCACGTAAAAGTTTCCAGATGTTTCCAGAAGGGTACCCTCTGGTAAACGTTTACATAACTATGGAAAATCGCCATGCTATTAATGGGAAAATCAACGAACTAAATGGCCATTTTCAATAGCAAACTGTTAGTCATTACCAGAGGGTAAGTCTTGCTACCTCTCAGGGAGTCCATATCGTTAACAAAAATCAGTTTCCGCAAAAACGTCTGCTGCTGCGACGTGTCCGAATACCGTTTCGAGGTTGCGGCAAAATCTCCCTCGTCCCAGGTAGGAAGTGACTTCTGCCATACGAAACACAGTTGGAAACACAGTAACTGACATCGACGCCACAACTGGGCTACCCAATTAGCAGTTTGAGAATCCAACTGACATCACCTGGAGCTGCCAATGAAGACCTGGGGGCCATGTTTCCATGGCCACCATATTCTTTTTGTGTTTCAGTGCGGCCAATGCTACGTGTAAATCTCAGAATAAATATCTTCTATTTTTTTTGACCAATGTTTTTTGGAGATAAATCCTTGGCCTTTATCTTTTAGACTCTGAAGTTTCAGATGGTGATGTAGCCAGCCCAAAAAGCCCTCAGGGCCTTTTTGGCCCATCCCAACTAAGGACCTGCGCACTTCGTTGACTCACCTCACGTCCAAAAACCATCAAACATGATACAAAACTCACAGCCATCCTCAGTCAGTGTCCCCGTTTTGCGTTGCTTGGCTCCCTTGCAAGGTACAGCCAGCAATCCCCTTGAGCTTTCGGTTCGCCCTCCAACCTGACTTTTTCTTGGACCATCAATGATCGTCCCAAGTACGCCAAATGTTCACAATCTTTACCCTCTGGTAAACTAACATAGCTATTGAAAATGGCCTTTTATAGTGAGTTTTCCCATAACAAATGGTGATTTTCCATAGTTATGTTAGTTTACCAGAGGGTACCCATCTTGGAAAATATGAGTTCGTCAATGGGAAGGATTATCCCATATATGAAATGGAAAAAAAACTAAACATGTTTGAAACCACCAGCCAGAATTGTATAAACCTGAACTAGATGAGCAAATTCACAAGTCGCAATGCATACTGATGACTGTAAGTATTGCAATTTTGCAAGGGTTGGGGGGTGTATAATGACAGTTTTGAAGAGTTCAATGGCCTCAAGCCAGGGATAGAAAGGATATCAAAAGGCCATGTTGAATGGCTTGATCTTGATACGTTCATACCTTGAACTTCCAACGTGTTTGCCTTATCGCCGTGTAAAAGTGCCTGCCATTGTGGCTCAAAAGTGTCGACATGGACATGGCCAGTAAGCAACGTCGGCGGTACCCCATGCCAAGACCACCAAACACCACCATGCTTCGCCTCAGGAAAATCAGCTCCCTTCGACTCATCCACAGCAAAGTTCACTTCTCGAATCTGGTGAAAACTTTGAGGAAACCCCTTCTAGCGCACTGGATGCGTGATGGGTTTTTGTTTTTTTTGGGGGGGTTGTACACTTGCCCTCTGGTTATTTAACAGTTCGCCATGGTATAGATGGCCCATAGAAATAGATAGTTTACCATTCTTAAAAAAGGTGGATCTTTCCAGTTCGCTATGTTAGTCATAACCAGATGGTATATGTTATAGTACACTTATCATTGGGGGGGTTGTACATCATATCATTACCTTGATGGATCCCATATCATAATTACATGGGCATCTCCTGGCCATCTTGGCAGCTGACCGTCACTGACCAACAGCGGCAACGGCAACTCAGCCCTGCACTGACTTCCAGACCAAAACACCGCAGAGTGACATGCCCTCGGCCTGCGAAGTTCTGTCGAAGCTGGAGACAAATTCCGCAAGTGAGATCCAGTCATAATGGGGATTTTAAGGGATCTCTGGGGTTAGTTGGGTTTTCTTGCTACAAAACATACTACCCAGTGAGATTTCATATAATCAATATATGGAAACTCATAGGAAGATCCATCATTTATAGATCATAATATCCGAACACCGATAGGGTTTTCCATGTCATCTTGTTAACCTCAAGTGGGTTTCAAACCCAGCTTGCTCATCTTGCGCAGCCCATTGAGTTCAATCTTCTTATCCATTGCCATCTGTCCCCAACAAGATGCCAAAGCCATGTCCCCCAACGGACGAACTCGCTGACGCGAATCACTTGGTGAACTCGGGTTGATTGGATAACTGGACAACACTATAGCATACTAATCAACTTTAGTATCTGATGATTACTAGTGGCTATAGCCATTGATCTTATAATCTTTGGTTATAGCCAATGGCTTTATAACTTACTTCTACCCCATGGTCTCACTGGCCTGGGCGCACTTTGGTGTTCCCAAGGGGCCTGAAGTGCCGGAATGTTCATGGGATAAGAATGGCATGGGGGGTCCCAGAAATGGTCATAGCCCAATAGCTGGATGGTTTATTCATGTTTATTCCATGGAAAACTAAAATGGATGATTTAGGGGTACCCCGATTTTATGCAACCCCCAGATCATGATGGTTGGTTATAAGGGGTTAGAACCGCCCTTATTAAAAAAGCGGATGACATCCGACATCACCTGACTTTTAGCCGCAATGGTGGTTTTCCCTTGGCACGTGATGTCACTAGTCCTTGCATTCCTACATCCCCATGCTGGACTCTTGTGGCGGCTCCGTACCCAGGCTGGACTCTGTTTTCTTGCTGTGACCGTGGTTGATGGCCACCTATTCAAAAACTGTAGGTTTTGAGGGGGAAGATTGACATGAAGAAATGATATTCAAGGCCCAACCTTTTCTTCAAATCAAATCCACTGGGGTCCAACACATGGGGTTGGGTTGCTTGGATTTCATTTCACGATTGATCTTGGATAATCCAGCCATCGCCAAAAATTCAAGGGCCTGACCTCATTCGAAAAACTGGTTGGTGGTTGACCTACCCCTCTGAAAAATATGCGAAAGTCAGTTGGGATGATTATTCCATTCCCAACTTTTCATGGAAAGTCATAAAAGTCCATGGTTCCAAATCACCAATCAGCCAACTGTCTGCCTTTCATGTTTAACGAACCGTTGCTGCGGGGGCGATAAGCTGCCTCGATCCCCACCCAAGTCTTCCCAAGTCGTCCCGCCCGTCGTCCCACCAAATCGTCAATGTCAAGTCGTCATTTTTTCAGAAACCCCAATGATCTGAAAAGGTGGTTTCAAACCGAACATGTGCAGTCCATTGGCATCATCCAAGGTTATGACAAAACCACCAATCAAATACCCTCTGGTAATTTAACATAGCTATGGCATAAAATCACAATTTTTAATGGGAAAATCCACTATAAATGGTCATTTTCAATAGCTATGTTAAATTACCAGAGGGTAATCATTCCCAAACTCAAAGCTTAAATGACCATAAAATCACCATGAAACGACCATTCAATCACCAATAAATCAATAATTCATCATTAAATCACCACGAAATCACTATAAACCGCCAGTAGTTCGCACCATTTTTGGTTCGCTTCGGCGAAAACTCTCCCCCCACCATGTTGTGCTCGTCCAAGTTGTTTTAGGCCCCCGAGCTGTCTCGCAGTGCTCCTTGCCTCCGGCGTCCAAGAGGCTCCAAACAAACTCCAGGGATTGATCCTAAAGCCACGCGGTGATGTCCAAGCTTCGGATTCTGTAAGTGATGTTGTTGTAAAACAATGTCATAAACTTACCACAAAATGACTGGGAATGGTAAACATACCTATAAAAAATGCTTATAAAAAATACGGTTATGACATTGTTTTACCAGCCCGATGAGCTGGGATAAACATGTCAAGGAAACAGTTGGGATGAAAAAAATGATGTGGTTGACCTGGGATTGCATAATGAGACCTGATTAGTCAATGATGGGAACATGTGACAAAAATGCAGATTTTCGCAAGAGAACAAGATATTGATGTATGTTGGGGATGTACGACTTGATGGGGAAAACAGGATAAACCATGGGGTGGAAGGAAGTTTCAAATTTGAAACAACACGGCCATCCACGGCTTGGATAACTGGTCGCAGTTTACATCACAAAAAGTGACCAGGTCTGAATGTAGGATAACCGGGAAAGCTCAAGGAAAGCTCAAAAGTCATGATTGATCATCATTTCCCTGTTCCCTGTTCACACCAGTTTTGGGATCCCTCAATTTAATGGTAAACCCAAATCAAAACGCCTTAGCTTATCTCATGATGTCATGGAAAATGTTGAACAATCCACGACGTCATCACCGTGGGTCCAACAATTATCCTAGTCTGCTTCAACCAACTTAGCTATCTTAAATTATCATCAGATAACTATAAATCTGCCGAGGTGTCTTGCCTAAATAACCTCTATTCATGCCAGTTAGTTAAATGCCAATTTTTGCCATGCTAATCCCAATTTTTGCTGCTCGAATCCCAAGTTCTTGCAAGTTTGGTGGCTCAATTATTTTCTGAAGTCCCTTTGGTGAAATACCATTCCCATGCGGCATCTCCTCTGTTTCAAGGATACGAAGCTCGTAGGTATCGCCCAAAGGAAGCCTTTGGCGAGAACTTGGAACTGGGACATAATACAAACATTATATATATAATGTATTATATATATATGTATATGTGTACGTATTATATATATATACATATATATATACAAACATTATGTGTATATATATATGTATATGGATATGTATAGATGTAATTATCTGTATACTTATTGGATATGGATGAAGAAGAAGGATAGAAATGCTTGATATGGGCATCCCAATAAAGGACTAACGGTACTTAGCTGTCCCAAAAAATCCAGATGATCCAGTCATCTACGAGCTGGGATCGAGGTCGCATGGGTAGCAGCCGATGTTGAACTCGAACAGAAAATGTATGTATATGTGTATGATATGTATATATATATATTTATAGATACATATTTAGATGGTTGTAGACCTACATGTGCACGTGTATGCAATGAAATTTATCATTCCATATGTCTCAAGACATGCTGACATTCCTTACAGCCATGGCATCTCAGGCATCTGACATCATCTGTTGGACCATTGCTTGATTGTGTACACAAAAAAGATCCAGTTCAACTCAACAAACGACCTCAAGTTTCTCCAGCATTTTCTCCAGTAAAAAAAAACTGATATCATCTGATATCATCTGATACAAACAACCGATGTTTCCTGATGATTTTCGATGAAAGAAGACAGCTTGGCTTCGCTTCGAAAAGGGCTCCGGACCCACCGTCTCCCAAGCCGCCGTACACCAGCACCTGGAGAATTCATCTATTTTGTGTATATTATAATATACTATATTATATACTGTATATATATATATATTATATACTGTATATATATTATATATATTATAGACTGTAGATAATAGTAGTGATAATCCACAACGAACCAGGAGCAAGATGACTTCTGGGGAATTTGATACATCATTCTACAAAATTATAAAGCTGATGGTACCAACAGCGCCGCATCTTATGAGTATACAGTATACCTTAGAAATAGGATCTGATGCAATGGATTCCAAAGACAGAGATGAATGATATAATAGAACTGAGATTTACTGCATATGCCATAATCAAATCCAAGAAAATGATGGACACAATTTCTGATGTCGGACCTCCGGAACGGTACGACGTTGATGTTTTCCGAAAATCATGTCCATGCTGCAACGTATTCGTAATATGAGCCCCTGACAACAGTACCTAGTCTCTGGTAATCAGTCATCAAACATGGCTGGGAAACCCCGGAACTAAGTGGAGGTTTAGTTCGCTGGAAAAATCCATCGAAATAAAATGAGGCTCCATGGCTTGTTCGATCGGGATCATCGGCCCCAGTGAAGTTCAACATGTGATACCAACAACCAAATCATTGGTGGCTTTTCCAATGAAATATTGAAAAGGATGTCATAGAGTTTATAAGGGTTACTTATAGTTACTTGGAGAATCATCTTACGAATCAGAAGTGGTGTACAACTCTGGTTATCAAGTTGCCTTTTTTTTAATCTATAGATTATAACCCCAATTCCAAAACACAAAAACTGTATATTAATGATACAGTACTTACCCTCTGCTAAACTAACATAGCTATAGCAGCTATGGAAAATGGCCCATAGATTTATAGATGGTTTACCTGGTTTACCTATTAAAAAAATGGCGGATCTTTCCACTTCGCTATGTTAGTCATAACCAGAGGGTCAGGGGCATCTTCGTTTCAATCCCCATTGGTTGAATCCTGGAAAAAATCCCCATCACGTGACGTGCTCGTTTCGGGAAACGTAGGGTTTTTGCTTGTGAGAAAAAGCCCCATCTCCATAGATTGATATATTCCCCTTATTAATTCCCATTTCTATTCCCATTATATTCAAATCCTACCCCCATTACTGTATATTTGTAGCTTATATCCCACATCCCCATCACACCTTGCCGGTGACTTTTCTACGCCGTATTTGGTGAAATTCTACACCTACCATCCCCAAATAGTAGGTTCATTACATTGGGTATACCACGTTCGTTGGTTCTGTGGCTAGACTTGGTATATGGAAACCAAAACGATACCGAAAAGTGGGAAAGCTGGACATATGACGTATGTATTAAATCTGATCTATAATCTACTGCTGGCACACTTTTCGGCATCTTTTTGGGGGCTCGTGTATTTCAAACTCCCTAACTCACGTCCATTGGTTTGAACGAAAATCATAAAATGTCTGAGGCCATTCACCGCAGGGGTCTCGCCGCAAAGCACAGGCACCTGGCCAGGAATGGCCCCCATGCTACTTTAACAGTTTGCGAACTGGAAAATGGTCCATGTATAGATGAATTACCTGTGAACAAATGGTGATGTTCCAGAGCAAATTGTTCAATTGCCAGAGGCTTAAATTGCTTTATAACATTTTATAACTACCCCATCTAACTATGACTTAGCCTAGTTAGAGGGCCTAGTTATTCGCAGCAACTTACCTATCTTGGGGGGCCCTTCCTGTTCATCCCGATTTTGTGGCAAGCCTTCGGAAACTTGCACTTCTTCAAAGACACTCAAATTGGAATGCTACCCTCTGGTAAACTAACATAGCTATTGAAAATGACCATTTATAGTGGATTTACCCATTAAACATGGTGATTTTCCACAGTTACGTAAACGTTTACCAGAGGGTACACCGTGGAATCTTGGAAAATCACATAGAAACCACTGGTTTTTACACCCAAAGCAATTCCGGGAACTCGGCCAAAATGTCGTGGGTCCCCTGGTCTGGTTCAAGCAGAAAATATCATCCCGAAGTCGACTTCCCCAAAGTTGAACTGTTTAACCGTGCCCAATCCTAAATATCATTGAACAAAAACTAATTCTTAGCTGGTTAGTAACTTTTCGGATGCAGCCAGACTAGCCCTTTTGCATGCCACGGATCTTTGAAAAAATCCCCATTTGTTGGGGTTTTACCATGAGACAAGTGGATTCTGCTCTCAGGGTCGGCCTGCAGCACCGCGCTGTGCCCTGCACGTGGCCTAGCCAACAAAGGGTGTGCCATTTGACCCATGGATGGATGATGGATGGATGGATTTCCCGAGCGAAACTGGATGGGGATTGCACCCACAAGAATGGAGATATCATAGGGATATCATGATGGGATAGTGTTTATAAGGTAAACATATGTTATTACATCTTATATATAGTTATATTGTATATAATTATATATATATGAACATGTTGGGACATATGTGGCTGAGCAGTGAATGGTTGATTATATACATTGTTTACCACTCACATTCTTTTATTGTAATGGATCGTCATTCAATCGGATCTATGCAAAGGGTCCGCTGATTGCCTCTTGCGTGCGTACACTCTTTTTTTTTTAATAATGGATAAGCATCGGTGGCATTTGGTAGGAAAGTCATGACCATACATCCTCTGGTTGGTGGTTGACCTACCCCTCTGAAAAATATGCGAAAGTCAGTTGGGATGATTATTCCATTCCCAACTGAATGGAAAATCATAATCCAAATGTTCCAAACCACCAACCAGTTATCAATGTTACAAACCATATGTTTCTTGCCACATGTTTGTAATTTCCTCTGTCCAACTGAATGGAAAGTCATAAAAGTCCATGGTTCCAAATCACCCTCTGTAGTTATGGCAGGTCTGGCAGGTTAAATCGGACCCAGCCCACGCCTCGGCGGTGTGTGTTCTTCCAACGCCTGAAAAATGGATTGGCTCTTTGGGGTAGAGTTGCAGGAAACCCATGGACTTTTACAACCCAAAAAAGAGGGCTTCAATTCAGTGCAGATAGGATGTTTTAGGATTTTCTTGAATCTGCATGTTACTAACAGTTAGAAGAATTCCAAGAATTTCATTCAAAGCAGTTTTCGAGATGATTCTCGGATTTTTCCTACTCCTAAGTGACATTTGTGCTGAGGTCGGCCCCTGGTTCGGTGGCTGGCTGGAGTTGTTTTCCTAACGGTTGGGTCGATCATTAAACCAACTGAAAAAAACCAACTGAACCAAGGTCTGGTTGGCATCATGCATATATGTGTATATATAAGATTATATAAGTGCCCCATCCTACTTCGTCAGTGCAAAAAATAACTCCCGTAAAAAAGGACAGGATTTTTGTAGGGTTGGTTCAGCTCTCAGTGGGGGTATAACCGACTTACAGGGGTGAACCACCAAGTGTGTATATATATATATATATATTTTTAAATGAGGGCCCAAATTATCATAAAACGTTATTAAACTGTGTTGGTCATCATAGAAATTATCAATCATTATCATCGGAATCATGATGTCATATTATATCATCAACACATCACCAGTGCTTTCTTCATTGCATAATCCAGTCACTATAATCATAGCAACCCCAAAAAAGATGCCTTTATTAAATGTGCCACCGGGATGGTAGTTCAATGTTTCCAGGTTTCCAAGGTATGTTCTATCTATATTGGCTTGCTACTATATGTATCTATATGTGAAATCTGTTGATCAATTCCTGAGACGTCTACTGATTAAATCCTCATAGATTTGTTTCCCATTAAATCAGATTATAAATCCATTTATATAGATCCTCCATTTTTAGGGCTTACTCGACAGCATTACCCATGACGGATCCATGGTGCTGCCATATATGGTGTGCCATGGATCCCATCAATATACCCCATTTTTGTTACCATATATACCAGCACCATGGATCCGTCATGGATTATATCTCATTTTTCAATGGGCGAAAACGTGACAGCGGCACCTGCGGTTGTCTCCAGCGCGCTTCCGGGAAGTCATCACCTCCAAAAGCGGTGCTGCGGGGAATTCCCAAAACGGCTCATCCCAAAGTGGCCAATCCTCTGGCGGAACGTTCCCGAGTTCAATAAGTTAAATGGAGGTATATATATAATTATGTATATATATATTATATATTATATTATTATGTATATATATAATTATGTATATATATAGTAACATATATATATATATCATCTGTAGATGATGGATTTTCGTGGATTTTCCAGCCATGGTTGATGAACCAGAGAAAAACGATGGGAAACAAATAGCGATTTCTCATCGAATTGTGTGTGTCTCCACCCATCACGCCTCCACTCTTTCTGCGACTTTGGGCTGGCAGGCCCTGGATGGCAAGGATGGGCTGATCTCACAGGTCTCCCCCTATGTTTCTTGGTTTATAATCCCCATTAACTATAGATATATTACCAACCAAAACCATATAGTGAATTACGGGAGTTATTTGCACCAACTTAGATAACTTAGCTACCTGGGGCACTATAATTATAACCCCCATTCATCAACCCAACAGATATTGAACCTATGAGACCATCATTAATCAACATTAATCACCATATTGCACCAACAGCAACCACTATAACCAACCCAACAGATGGGTTTGTCTGAAAATAGGGTAGAGTTTCCCAATGAAATAGCCATTTTTCATAGGGATTGTCTGATCAGCAAAACCATTGGGTTGATTGGGGGTACACAACATTGTCAGACACCCAACAGATATTGACCTTGTTTTAACGCACCAACTTGGGGCACCACCGGCTGAGAAATCACCCGCCTTCGGCTCTTCCCGCTGGGGCTTGGTGTTTTTTTTCACCTGCGAGGCCATTGCCAAGACTTCCTGCGTGCTGCAAGGCATGGCCTCAGAAAATTTGTGCGGCGCGAAAAAATGGGGGCTGTGGAACTCCAAACAAAGATATATATATATACTAGTATATATAGCAATAGATGTAAAGATCTATATCTGTATATATCATACATGTATAGTATAGTATAGTATAGTTCTGGATAAATGTAGTATAGTAGTATAGTATTAGTAGCAAAATATATATAAATCCTTGGAGGATCATCGCACTTACGTGGCTTAGTAACCTTAGTAAGTCCCCGATTGGCTCATCCTATAACTTTCTGGGTGAACTATGGGACCACTAACCGCGACCCTTGGGATGATCTATATGATGTTATACACGTCGTATATCTCCAAATATGTGTATTCCCTATTTCATAGTAAGCATGTATATCAATAAAGTATATATATATATACAATAAGCAATAACGGCAATATGTCTAGATATGCATGTGTATTGCGGTACTCCATGTGATGTCGTTTAATAATGTTTCATTGTGTCGTCTTGTGTAATCTAAACATAGACAGAGTTAATTGACTTTATTCTATTCCATACCCTCTGGTAATTTAACATAGCTATTGAAAATGGCAATTTTCCCATTAAAAATGGTGATTTTCCATAGTTGTGTTAGTTTACCAGAGGGTATTGCCTTTGCACCAAAGAATGGGAGCCTGATCAACTTGATGCAACAAAAATGTGCATGCGCGCATGCCCACCAACGAAGACATACAGTAACAGATTGCCCATGATGTTCATTGGATTTCCGTTGGATATCCATTGATGTCCATTGATGTCCATTGATTTCCATTGATTTCTCCATTGATTTCTCCATTGATTTCTGCATTGATGTCCATTAACTCTTCATCTACACGGCATCTGAACCCCGTATGCCCATGATCTTCACATATCTTCACATTATATACCAGTCCCAATGTACACCCCCATCCTTGGTGTCCCCACACGGCTGAGGTTTGACATCTTGGACCTGAAAGGAGTCGGAAAAGAAGTGGTGTCCGAAAGACAAGGAGTCCATGTGTGTGAATAAGCGGGATATAACTAGGCTATAATATGACTACATCGTAATGTATATTATATATATATTATATTATAGAATCACGTTGGGAGTTCCTAAAATAAGGGGTCCCCCAAATCATCGAAGTCATGGATGACCATGACTTAGTATTGAAACCTATGGTGACTTGGGGTACAACATGTTTTTTTTGAAACCTCCATATATCATCACACAGCTTTCTGGATATATTCTATTCATGACCAACAACCTATGCCATGGTCAGCACATGGTATTTGGGCCATGGTCATCCATCTCATAGTGGGAATCCTGAAAACATATGTATACAAATCCCTATGAATGAATTGATTATAATCTGCCAATATGGGTTTATATCATTCAAGTCTATTAAATTAAATCCCAATGATTTTAATGGCAATTCATCAAACTTTTCACCATGGCACCTATGGATTTGTTGTTTTTCTTGTCCTGTCGAGCCAAAACGCGTCAGCAACGAAGACTGTGCCTCTCAGGTTCCTCCTCGGAATCTGTCTCAGAGTCTGAGCCTCAGGAGTCGGGATTGGAAAACTCTCTAAGTTGGTTTTTAACTATAACCCATATGCTCCATGTATGGAATATTTACCAACATTTGCCCTGAAAATCACCCAAATGTAGGTAAATATACCATACATGGAGCATATGGATAATAGTGTATGATACTGTACTAATAATATCATATAGTGATACAGTGTGTGATAGTTGGTTTATAACTATAATAGCAATAGTGTATGATACTGTACTAATATCAACACTGGTTGGTGGTTTTAACCATCTTGAAAAATATTAGTCAATGGGAAGGATTATCCCATATATTATGGAAAATATATAAAAAAATGTTTGAAACCACCAACCAGGCAATAGTGTACGATACTGTACTAATAATATCATATATCTGGTTGGTGGTATACCTACCCCTCCGAAAAATATGAAAGTCAGTTGGGATTATTATTACCAATATATGGGAAAATAAAAAATGTTCCGAAACACCAACCAGGCAAGTGCATGATACTGTACTAATGATATCATATAAAATATCTAATAATTACGGCAACTACATTTAAATATACGGACTTTTAAATATACGAACAGGTATTTTAGACTACCTCCGGGAAGGTTTTCCCTGGCCCGCCCGGCCATTTAAACATACGGAATCCAAGTCATTTAAACATACCGTAACTACATTTGAATATACGAACTGGTATTTCATGCTACCTCCGGGGCCTCACGGTCTGGCCCGCCCTCCACATATTTAAATGTCGTTACCGTATATTTAAGTGATTTTAAGTGGCCTTATAAACTTATAACTGGGGGGGGCACCACCCTGCAAGTCTTCAGGACATTTCGGTTAATTTCAACCTTCCAAAATGGGACCCCTAAAATGGGTGAACTGGAACCCGTAGCCACCGGGCCTCGTCGCTTCACCATCTCCTGGCAAAAGTGGTGGAGTCACTTGAGATATCTTGAGATCATCCCAGATTTCTATCGATTTCTGAAGTTGAACTACTTCAGAAACCGAAACCATACGCGGATCCAGATCCAGGGGATGCACCGATGCACCAAAAACCAGCCCTTTTTCCACCGGTCCTGAGGACTTTTCTGTGCTTTGGGCGGCTTGCCAGACTGGGCGCTGACGGGAATTCACACGAAGCCACCAAGGTGGCGGAAACGTCAGAAAACAATCGGCATGTTGACCTCCAAATAGAAGCGGTTTCTCTGAATACAAGGGGTGTTCTTGGACAAAGTATAGATATTTTACTATAGTGTTTCTGGGAAAATATCAAGATTTCCTGAGAAATGTTCCGTTCACCCTATTCTGGAGGCTTTCTGCCTGATCGATTTGCCATGTGGCCACCTTCACTGGAATCTTGATTGAAAGGATCATGGTGTCCTTTTTTGGTTGTGAAAAATTGAGAAAAACATCTATTTTCGTAAAATCACCAGATCCAATTGGTATGTTTCATAGAATTTCTATATTTTCAAGCCACCTTGGAGTTTCTGCCCCTTGACACAATCTTCCTGTGACGTAATTCAGCCACAGTAATCACGTATGCCATGGTCAAAAGATGGATACCCATAAATTGTGGGATGGTCATCAATCCATTTTCATAGGGTGCTTAATAATTGATATAGAGGTTTCCTAAATGGGGGTACCCCCAAATCATCCATTGTTTAATAGGATTTTCCATGACATAAACCCTCCAGCTATTGGGATACCCACATGGCTTAGGAAACCTCCATATAGTTTCATCCATGATATCCCCATTATATCACCGTTAAACCATAGTTTCATGATGGATTCTCATGCCAGATGGACGACCATACCACACAAACATGTACGACCAAGGCCCCCAGCACCACAGGCAGCACGATACGAGGCGAAAAAGATGGCTTCCGCCTGGGCACCAAGAAGTGTTTTCTTGGCTCAACGGCTCAGCTTTTTTTGGGAAAATATGAGGCTTTCGAATCCGAACCATTGAGTTTCAGACCCCTGATATTGGGTCCTATAGGACATAGGACTATATGGGGAAAACCCAATTGGGAAAATATGGGGGTTCAAACGATTGAGTTTCAGGGTATCTTTCAGACCAAGACTAACCAGTGGGAGGGTCATATAGGACTTCACTAGATGACAAGACTGTCAACAAGGAGTTCATATTCGAGCATTTGAGTAGCCCAAATCTTAATCGTGGGCCCTGACAACTTACATTTGGGGCCTATAATGCCATGTGTCTGGTATGACACGTAGAAGGGGAAGTCCAAGTTAGCTTATCAATCTCAGATAACCTTTTGGCTAGTTCGTATCCTCTCCATATATATATATATACCAAGGAAATTACGCACGAACCTACCTAGAACGCCATGCTACCATCTCAGCCCTCTGGGCTGTCGCGAGACTGCCTCGCTGTCGCTATCTTCCCCTCTGTCCTCGCTTTTTGGGCTCCTGGTAGCATGGAGGGAGCTGGGCTGCAGCCTGCCATGAAATTTAGGTGTGGGTGATGCCCTGGCTTTCCAATAAAGATATACTGTACATACATTTAAAAAATATGTGTGAGATAATGAAATCAACTTCTTCACATCATGTTTGATGTAAAAATCAACTTCTTCAGTTGCAGGGAATTGTTTGGTTTGATCCGTAGCTCTATCTAATCAGGAACGCTGGGTGCCGCTTTTTCCAGGCTAGGACGTCCTGGCGCAAGAAATAACTCCCTTCAAATTGCCCCAGAATTCACGTCAGCATTCTATATTTCGGGGTGGAATTTAGCCGAAGTTTAGCCCATCCTACCAGCAGTTTCAGCTGGTGACAGCCCAAAAGAAATACTCCGTATACCCAAATGTTGGGTCACGACCCCTATTCGGGTCAATGATTCTGGTCAATGCAAAAAGCATTTCACGCAAACGGAACACCCCAAAATGGCATCTGTAATCAGGAAAATGATCATACCCAAATGCTCCATGTGTAGAATATTTACCGACGTGCTGAAACCACGAAATTCTCTCAAATGTAGGTCAGTAGGTACCATGACTATACCATGTATGGAGCATATGGATAATCCATGATAATCCATTGGATCTTCAAGGTATCCCCATTTCTTCGGACAGATATCTTCTGGTGCAGCCGCCCGGTGCAGTCCTGTCAGTCTTCGAAGGCATTTTGGGCCCCTGCAGTTGCAGAATGTGCCTTGGCAGTTGATTGGTCCAAAAACTCTGGAGAAATCTGAGTCAAACACAGATGAAGTTTCCCAAAGGTTGGAATGAACATCAAGACATGACATGTTTGTGGCAAATCCAGTGATAAATTTAAGGGATTGTCATAAACCATACCCACTTGGAGTGTATTATTCAGTTTATCACCTTCGGAGCTACTGTAGGTTTAAATGCTCTGGTAATTTAACACTCTGCCATAATATATCTCCAAATATGTGTATACCAACTTAGCCAACGGACTGGTGCCCCACCCTGGTTGTCCCAATATATTCCCGTCATTATCCCGACATCCCACTACGATTGCCAATAGAAAGCCAGAACATGATTGTTGGTTGTATATATATATATTACAAAAATTTATAAATTATATATGTTATAATATAATTAGCCATTATCAACCAGTAACATTCATAAAGACCCATTCTACGGCCATTTTATTGTTGGTTGGTGATATTTATATAGTTTCCCTCTGGTAATTTGTTATTATAGCTATTGAACATGGCCATTTATAGTTGATTTACTTATTGAACATGATGAATTTCCACAGCGAACTGTTAGTTTACCAGACGGTTCATGTAGATACCCGTGACCCATTATATCCCTATTTAATGTCAACCCCGGATTCATAAACCATGGTTTATTAATTAGGGGGTACTCCTCCAATAGTCATAATCCAATACTTAAATGGTACCCCCCAATTAAACAGCCGTTTGGGGTTCATTAATCCAGGGTTGACATTATATATATATACAAGGTTGTGCCCCCCCAGTTATAAATTGGTTATAATCCCATTAACTAGTTCGATATATCACCTAATATCACCTATAAACATTATAAACCATAGTCATTGATATACCCATGATATCCATCAAAAGCATATACCTATACATCTATTGATGGGTAAATCATAACCTTGGTAAATCACCTATATGATATATCTCCATTTACCCATCAAACTATGGCCATCCAAGCTACACATCGGCCAGGCAGCGCCCCTGGCTGCGTCCCCCCAGCAGCAGCAGCCGTCCAGCGCCCAGCGCCGTCCACGTGCAGCCGCTGCGTGGCTTGGGGGGAAAGGCCAGCACCGAGCGGTGGAAGGAGCCTGGAAAGTGGGAAAAAACGTGGGAAAACCTGGGGGAATCTACGAAAAGATACGGACATCTTGGAAGAATCAGGCCAGAACTGGATTCTAGAGATGTCTACAGCATGGTCCGTGACTATGTACAGGTGGTTGGATGAGTCTTGCAGTTTATGATGAAGATTTCTAAGATTTCTGTCAACTGATAGGTCAAAGCCTCCAAAACAGCGTCAAAACCAAATCAGATTGAGTCATACCCTCATGACCCTGATCTGAAAATATCCATTAAAAGGTGGCATGGCCGGCATGGTCATCCAAGTTGGTCTAGATCTTCTCTTGGATGGCTCAATTCTTGTGGCTCAAAAATCTCCATGGGATGGTCCTCCAAGTTGGCTTCTTAGCTTCTGAAAATGCGAAAATCTTCCAATTCTAATTTCACTGACTTATCATCAGTGTTCACATGTTTGCAGTTTGGGGGTATACCATGGTAATGGTATACTTACCATGGTGTACTGCCTCAGTTTTTGACATATCAATAGCTCCCTGCCCTCTATTATCCTGAACATCACATCACAAACTCATACTAATTTTGCTATAGACTATAGGCTATAGGCTATATATTGCTTAAGGATGCTCAAGGGCCTCAGAAAGAACAACCAGTATTCCCTGTACATTCCCCAAGTGGTGGATGAACTGGTGGGGGGCATAAAAATACTCAACCAGCAGTATGATTGGTTAAACCTCACCATCCCCCAACAGAGACCCAAACAAAGCACAGTTTTTTGGAGGAAAGACTTGTCTTCCAACCCCCAACTCGTGGTAGGGTCGAGCTGCTTAGCTGGCTCCCCTCCCTGCCTCGCAGCTGTCGCGTCCACAGCTCCATGGGCACATCATCGCCCAGCGCTTCCTCGAAGTCCACGCCCTTCGAAGGCGCCCGCGCCCGGCTGGCAGAGGAACCACCCACCTCGCTGTGACAAAGCGGAGATTTCTGGTCTGGGACAAAAAGTGGGGTGGTTCACCACGGTGGTTCCCTTGGGAAAACATCTGAACCAGGCAGAAAGCCATGGATTTTTAATAGCCAAAACTCAGCTGAAGTATAGCTGAAGTCAAAGTGCTTCAAACCTGGAGATTCCGCTGCCAGGTCAAATTTACCGAAGAATGTCTGGGGTTGTCCCGAAATTTGAAATCACCCCCCCAAAGGTGCCAAGGTCAACGGTTGATCATTTGAATGGCCATAAAAGTGGGGCGTTTGTCTTCTTGACCTCAGAGCGCGGGACAGCTGTTTTTTCTTCCCAGTGGAACTCTCTGGGTCTGACCATCTGTCGGCGGTCTGACGAGAGTGCAGACGGATGCTCTTCTGTCACAAAGATCCCCCTGTCAATTGTCTATGCCAATACCAATAATCTGGGTCACAATTTAATTTGATTAACCCAAGGATAGTTGCACATGTCTATCTGTCTATCTTTGAAACTGATTGATCTGATTGTCTCTGTCTGTTATGGTTCAGGATTGCAATTGCAATCCTCATTCAGAGTCATGATGGGTGGGGTCTTGGTGAGCACACGCTGTTAAAAAGGCTGGCATCTTCTGTGCCTTTCATCTGCACATGTCAGTCGCTTGAGGCTTGTTGAACTCAACAAGCGCCTTAATAATGGGAGCCTTCAAATCCGAAAACAAGAGGTGAACCACTAATACCAAGGCAAGCAAGCGACATATTAGGAAAGTTGTTCAAAGCAACATCCCCCAGCATCAGGAGGGGTTTGCCCTCCTTCAACTTCTTCTGGAGATCACAATCCTTTCCCTCGCTACGGCGGCTCAATCGGCAAACCACCTCTTCTAGAAGTTTGCCAGCAGTCATGCTGAGGGGCCAATTGAAAAAAGCCAACTCCGCAATAACATATCCTCCTGGTGCAATGTTTTTCCAATGTACATAGAAGGTCTTGTGGGTGGGCCCTGGAGGTGTCAACTGATCTGCCTTCATTTCCGCCACAATCTCCTGCAAGTCGCGGATCTGTTTCTGGGACTCCTCCATCTTCCTGGCACTGTCAGCCTCAAGAGCTGCCACTTTCTGCAGCAGGATCTGGTACTTCTCGTCCGGCACGTGCTGCTCGGCTTGGTTCTCCCGGCACGGCTTCTCGATCCGGTCCAGGCACGCGGCCAACCTTGCGAGTAAGACCTCCTGGTTCTGGTCTATCTTTGTCTCCACGAGGTCCACCTTGGAACTCACGGCCTCAATGGTTCTCTCCACAACTTTGATTTCGGTGGCAAGCGATTTGGTACGGCTTTGCACCTCCTCCAGCAGACTCCAGGATTGGTCACTGGAAGAAACATCTGAAACCTCTCGTGGCGAATGGTCCGACTGGTCCCTTGGGAGTGTGTTGCCGTGCATCATCTCCAATGACTGCGATCCTGGTGCTCAAAGTCTGATCTTGGGCCAGCTGCTTTGATGAGACACACAGCCTGCTTCCCAATCATGTCATGGAAAAGCAGAACATTTATATATGATTATATATGATGTGTTTTCCATAATCATTCAATTTCCGCAATCATTCCACAATGATCAATCATTAACACATAATTTCGATATATGCCGATTCCATTCTTCTCTTCAGCTTCGTAGAACATGAGATGCACCGAGGCTGGCACCATAAAAAGCTGTTCCTGACCTGCAGCCGAGGCTGGCAGGTCCAAGGGCTGGTTCCAGGGCTGATGTCACCCCTGCCTAGCATGATAAGACAGTGATTCCCTATGTTCCCTACAAATTCAATGGGATCGGGATGTACTAGACTTTTCTTGGTGGTTCCAGGTTTTTTTTCCAGTTGATATTGCAAGACGAAATTAGGAATTAATATGCCTTGAGTTTGTATGAATTGCACGGTTCAAAAGCCGGGCTGACCGCTACACGAGTTGACATACTTAATACGATTTCCCCAAACTATCCTATGAATCATTACATCAGCTTTAGAAACACATCAACTTTTACAGTCCTCTACACAGAACAAGCAATGAAACAATGGAATTGATGATGGATCGCACCAAGTTCAACTATCCCAAGGGAGGCTTCATCCCCAATTTTTCTGTGGATTCTGTGGATCATTCTCGGCCTTCGGCATCTGCGGCACAAAGAGGACCAGCCCTGGCCCAGCAAGGCTGGACATTCCCGAGCTGAACCGCATCACTCATCACCAAGCTCGGGGTCTCCATAGTCATGGGGGTACCCAAAAAGGATGGTTTATAATCTATAATCTGGATAATCCCATTAAAATGGATGATTTGGGGGTACCCCACTTCAAAAAACCTCCATATTGCGGAAAACAATGAGAAACCCGCTCTAATGAATGGTCAGGCTATGGCAGTCTGACTTTGACAAGCAACTAAGTACTTCAAAACCTCCCAACCCGAACAGAAAAAGATATAGAAGCTAAAAAACAAAGTCACTGACATAGTGTCGGAAATGCGTTACAATCTAACTGTTAATCTTTTTGGGGGATCAGTATAGTAAACCCTCAAAAAAATGCCGAAAAGTGAATCTTCACTTTTTCAACGGGGATTTACTGTTCTATTCTATCTTGTTTTTGGAGATAATTCTATGTAGAAACCTGTTCGTTTGCAGTTCGTCGTCGTAAAAGCACCGTTGAGACTCCCGCCATGCTGTGGAAGCAGCCTCGTCAAGCCTGGGACGCTGGGCATGGTGCCAGGCTGGGGGTGCCTTTGAGTTGGAATCTGCGGTAACCAGCAAAAGTCTAGGCCTTGCTGAAGTTTTCAGAAGAACACCACAAAATCGTAACATTCCTTTTAAAGCCACAAGTCCAACCATTCCAATTCACATGATGTATTCACTTGGAATCTCATTTGCGTAATATTTGAGTGTGCTTTCAAAAAACATATCAAGGGTCCCTCCAAGCTGAAAAAATTGGCCTTGTCCAGGCCATAATATACCTTGGAAACTGGCACGAACGGCCCGAACAAACGGCCCTCCGCTTGCAATGGAAAAGTGCCATTGAGGATCCCCGAAATTCATCTATTCATGGGATACTCTCCACATTTTCCCTCTGAGGCTTGCTGTAATCCACCGGGAATCTATCATCGCAATGAAGCATGCCCCTATTCACCAAAAAAAAAGGAATTCGCTCTATAACACAACAGGTGTGTCCTGTTGCTGGGCTCAGTTCATAAGAGGCATCCATGAAAAAGTCACAGGTTCTGTGAATCCTCATTGAGGCAAGAGCTAAAGCTGCAGCTTGGAGTTCTTCTTTTGGGCCACGAAATGGCAACGGCACCGCACGGATCTCCACAAGGTCCATCTATTTTCACGTCTCGACGGATATTTTGACCAACCGTTCGGGTCATTTCGGATCCACAGTTGTAGGACACCAATGATGTCCAGTGACAAAAAAAAACTCTCAAAAATATCCTATTGGGAACCAACCTCCCATAGAACTATGGTTGAAAATTACGAATATTGCATTGGAAATCATTGGAAACCAACAACCAGTCAGAACCTGGATCAGCTCTGTATATTGAACAATCAAAAAAGTGGGCAAACACAATCTGCAGTTGCAACTGCCTGTTTCTCATTGGGTCCCTGCACCGTACCCCTGACCTGCTTTTTAACGCCGGGGCGCACATGGTCTGGAAGCACCATGCCACGTATCATGTGTGGCCAAGTAACCATACAAACATGCTGGGTGTATGAACAAATATAAACATCCGCCGGGGGAACTTCACGGAAAAAAAAGTAGATATGGGTAGGGTATTGGCACATCTGTTTCCCTTCTCAGCATATTTCCATGGCAAACCTATACACTACCCATATGCTCAATGTTTTTGGCTATTTACCTAAAGTCCTAAAGATTAATGTTAGTAAAGCAATAGTACACCATCCATCACCATCCCCATTTTACCATAAATGGGTGGTATGAACCATCACAATAGGGGGAGTTTATTGGTGGTTACTAGCATTATGTGACCTATGAGACCTCCCAGAGAGTCATTGCTTCTGGGCATGGCGCTCCACGGGCGGTGAAACACCGTTTCAAGCGATGATGCACCAGGGATTCGGATCGACTTGTGGGAGCCCTGTATGGATCCGGTGGTAGCCCTTTTCAGAGGGGGCCCTGACACCTGTCATGTGGCAGTGCATGTGTTCAGTTACTTGAAGTTCATACGATCTGTAGATGTCGTTGGCATCTTAGCAAGCAGCAAGTGTGACCTCCCGAAATGACAGAAGAGTAGATTCACATCAATCAAATTAGTATGGAATACCCTCTGGTAAATAAACATAGACCCTGAAAATCACCATTTTTTAATGGAAACTCGTCTTCCAACCCCTATCTGCCAGGGTCTATGTTAATTTACCAGAGGGTAACTTTGTTTGAATCTTCTTTGCACTTCACTGGACCGCCGAAAAAAAAACTGACTGATGCATCATGGCAGCGTTCTCAACTGCGGGCAACCCAACTATGAACATGCGCGGTCAGCGTGCAGCTGCACATGTCGGCAGAGCACGACTGAACGCGTTCAAGCGCTGTCAGCGCCGAGAGCCTATGCCCAGATTAAACTTGTAGTGGTCCCCAAGTTAATAAAGAGTCCTAATTAGGTGGGTCCTAGTTCCCCATCCGTTTCTTTCCATGAAACATTGCTTCATCAGGGGCCACTATACCAATCTATACCAGGAAACACATTCCTTCTCGGCCGCATCCCTAATGTAAAGATAACTAACCACTTTTTTGGAGCCGCGACAACGCCTCACTGCATCTCGAGGGGAATCTCTTCGAAATGCGTTCTCTGGTGGCCCTGGCGATGATCCAATGATGTTAGATCGGGGATGGGGGGAAGGTCTACCCTGAAAATGGGGTTGAAAGTTTGAAGGCTGGTGGGTGGTTTTAACATGTTTTAACCATCTTGAAACATATGAAAGTCAATGGGAAGGGTTATCCCATAATATCCCATATATATTATGGAAAGTAACAAATGTTTGAAAGCACCAACCAGAAAGTAACGACACAACGCGGTCTAGTTTCACATGATAACCAAGACCAGCAAAACACCTTGTAGTGCTCCGGAGCCATGTCAGGGTGCATATACCTCACCATCATAATCACCTCAGGCGGAACTCAACCAGGATCATCATCTGTCCAAGCACCTGTCCAGATACTGTATAATAATGTATATCATTTTATATACTGTATATCTAATGTATATCTATAATCACATGCAAAATCCCCCGATGATTTTGTTCCGGCTGTCTTCCCTTGTTTCACTTGTTTGCTGAGCTACCCATTCCTAGCCCCAATTGTTTGGGTCGGGTGGCGCGAGTTTCCTTGCAGTCCAGGCAATGCACTCGATGGTCGTAGCCTAAGTTTCTGCTTCGGTGTCCGAAACAACGACCGGGTGGTGGAAAAACATGTGAAAAATGGTGATTTAATGAGATTTGACCAACAACAATGGAACAAAGTGGTGCCCCATACTTAGCTAAGTTGGTTTACAACCTATTTCTTAAGTATGGCTTATGATATATCATATGGAACTAGTTAATGGGGTGTATAAACCAACTTATATATCTTGTATCTATATATATACTGGTTGGTGGAACAGGACATGATAAACAACACTTCGTAATATGATAATTATAAAGATGGATGGATGACAATATGAATGACAAAATGTATCAACATGTAGAAACTGTTAAGCATAAATATTAGATGAACATTTTGGTCATCAAAATTATGAGAGTGGTAAGCGAGGTTCCACCCCAGTGTTCACAACCAGTGCGTGGGGCCTGACCAGGACAATAGGTCGGGATCATACCCTGCAGCACCAGTTCTGACTGGACTCATCCTACCCTGCAGATAGAACTGGGGTGAACTAACCCTCTGTAACTCATCCTGGGCTTGTAGGGACCTGCCTCTCGTGTACAGTAGCTGGGGAGTGTCCCCATCATCTCAGATCATATGCTCTGTGCTAAGCCATGTCCACCCAACCAGCCCATTTGGTTCGAAAAAATCTGGAAACCTCAAGAAAAAAGAACCTCCGTGGGGTCTGAAACCACAGTAATTCATACAATCATTAAGTTCAGAGTGTTCATTTACCCAACCCCTATGGCATTTTCCAAAAAAATATCCCAGACATTGGATAAACATTCTGCTCATTTAGACACATCCACACGATCATATTCTTGCTTACCCTCCGGTAAACATGGCTACCCTATCAAACGTTCGATGATTTGCCCACTAAAACCTCATGGCTAGGCCACGGAGATCTTCCCACGTGGCTGATGACACTGGAGGTGTGCCATCAAGATTCCAGCAACATACCAGTGAATACCACTGTATTCCACTAATTCTGGTTGGTGGTTGTATTATTCCCAATGTATGGAACAATGAAAAATGTTCCAAACCACCAACCAGAATTATATCCCAACGTTTCACGGATTTCAAAAATCCGTTGAAAATCCGAAGAAGTATCTCCCATCCCATAGGATCCATGTATGCCATATATGGTAACATGGATCCCATCAATATACCCCAAATGTTACCATATATACCATACATGGATCCTATGGGCATGAAGATTCCAGCAACATTTGCCAAGCAGCTACCGTCCCAGGCGATGACCTGTTTAGTGGAAAGTAGTCTTCCAAACCAATAGAAAGTCTTGAATTTGGGGGAGGGTTTAGTAAGTGTTTCAGAAACGAACGTGTTCAATGGATATATATATATATACCCTCTGGTTATTTAACATAGCCATGGAAAATGACCCATAGAAATAGATGGTTTACCTGGGTTTACCTATTCAAAATGGTGGATCTTTCCAGTTCGCTACGTTCGTCATAACCCGAGGCTATATATATATTCTGTCATATGTGTGTGTGCCACATATAAGACATGGTATATTTTTGTAGAAATTGGTCATCCATCCCGCTATAGATATAGAATCCAACTTTTGACGATGGCACCGTAGAGCCGTAGTTGGTATATGTTGGTATCTTGTGTTCAAGAGGATGTAACCAAGCAACCACTCCTCTGCTACTTGGGAAGTCCCAACTGGTGAATTCACTCTAAGAAGGCACAGGATGTTAGGGTTGAGATTTCAAACCTGGGTTATAGAAGTTTTTAAGTCATAATATGTCATAATCCAGTCCACATAACACTCCCCAGAAACCATGGTCTATCTTTAGGGGGATGGGATTGGTAATTTCCTGAAAAAAAAACATCTTGGGATGAAGGATCTTGACATCTACCCTCCGGTGTCATCAAACGTGGCTAGCTGGGAAATCCATGGAAATCCCCTATGATGGCCTAATGATGGATGATAAAAATCAACCAACTAAATGCGGAACTTTCCAGCAATGTTTGATGACACCGTTGCGAGTTCATTGAATCGTCACTGTCGTGCTCGCGTCAACCAAGGTTTCGGGTTTCCTGGGGTAACATTCGAACAGGATGAACAGGGGAAGGGATGAACAAAAATCCATGAAATCCCAACTTGTGTTGCTGAAAAATATCTATTCTATCATATTCTATCTACATAGAATCCCACTTTCACATCCAAAATAGTCAAACATATCACATCAATCTGGTCAAACAGATAAATATGTGTGTATCTATGTATATATATATCCCATTTATATGTATATATATATATATCCTATTATATCCTCATTACATTTGGTATATTCCGAACTGAAATCTCCTCCAAGATCCGATCCACCGATTTCCCCCGGGCCTTGCCCTCTTCCCAGTGGTAACTTTCGTTGGCCACGAAGAGTTTCGCCCCCTCAACGGGCTTAAAATCCAGTTCAATGGATTTCGCAGTGGCTGAATGTGTTGACATGGAATCTGCAAAAATGACATCCATATTATATATATATATTATATAAATGATATATATTATATAAATGATATATATTATTGTATGTAAGCACCAAGAAAGATGCCGAAGAGGAACCAAATTTACCAGGATTTGGTTCGCTTGCCTCCAGACCAGAGATGCCCAAGTGGATGTTCAGGATGTTGTTGGAAGGTCCGCTATGAGTTTCCACCTCAGTTTTCTTCATCCCAGGAATGAATCAAAGAAACGCATTCCTGGTGCTCTGCGGATCCCGTGCTGACTTAGTCATCTTACTTGGAGTTACCCTCTGGTAATTTAACAGTTTGCTATTGAAAATTGCCATAGAAATAGTGGATTTACCCATTAAAAATAGTGATTTTCCATAGCTATGTCAACGTTTACCAGAGGGTATCTTTGTGGATGCTGCTGGTAAATCTGGATCGAATCAAAAAACACCTCCAGAAATGTCCAATTAGATCCCCATATCCCCATACTGTCTTGGCGAAATCCTACAGTTCATGCCAGTTATCTTTGGTTTCTCATCATCATTAGCCAAGAAGTACGATATTAAATAGGGATCAATGGGAATTTTTAACGGTTTTATGGTGATAATAACATATAATAACCATCATTAGCTGCAGAAAAAAAAAAAAAACTAAATTACCCAAATTTTCTTGTTTTCACCACGAGCCACTCACAGGTGGCCATTGGCCCAATTGGCCATATGCCGACAAAACACATCAGTTCCCTGCTTCATCTTGATGACCATCACCTCAGGGTTTTTTTGTTACCCGGACGATCTTATCCCTCCGGTCATATTTTGGCAACGGGAAATCCATGGAAATCCTCTATAAATTGATGATTTTTTTGCCGGGATCGTCAAGAAATGCTGGATCTGCCATGGCGACGGTTTTATTGAGGATAATGCTAGAGAAAAAACAAAGGTTTTGGTAGTTGTAGTTAAATCCCCTGAATATGATAAATGGGGGGGTATCGGTTTTAGAACAAATAAACTATATATAGTAGTGATGATTAAGTGCTGTGAAAACCAACAGTGACCTTAAGTAGTGATTTAAAATCATTGGATAGTAATGGATAGTAAACAAACATGTATGCATTTTTGGATGCACAAAATATGCTGGCAATGATTTTTGGCAATGGTCCGCAAACCGGAATGGCTCTTAAAAATGCAAATGGATGGTACTTATATAATATTATATGTAATGATCGTAAACCCCAAATTTATTGGATTGGATAGCAGCCTCATTCACAAACAAGAATGTGAACGAATCATGGTCACCATCGACCATCCCGAATTCGACTGCCATTGTTCATAGCTATGTTAAGGTCCAGAAATAGATGATAGACATCTATAAATAATAAGGTCTATCAATATAATGAAATACCATCTATAGATGCTAGAAATAGATGTTTTCAGGTCCATAATAAGCAATGGTAAATGATCGATGTGTATAAATGTATCCTCCCCCAGCGGAAGCTTGGTCTGGCTGATACTGTGAAGAACAACTCCAGAACATGCTGCCAGCAAGTTGCAAGTAATGCTGGAACAACAATTTGACAATAGCTGAATTTATGATCATCTATGAATGTTCTGGTATTCCAGTATTACTGCAGTATTATAGTATTACTGTCTATCATAATCATCATAGATAACTGGTTCAGAATCTATGAATTATAAATAATTCTAATCATCACACACTTTCAGCTGCTTCGCTCAGGTCCCGCCATTCTCCATCAGAGGGCCGACCTGCTCGTTCTGGTCCGATGTCCATGGCAATCCGGGCTTGGATGGGAGCCACTGCCTGACACGAGTTGACCCTTTCAGAGGGGCACCTGATGTCAGACGTTCACAACATGATGCAACAAGTGGTGACACCGGGTATGGGAAACCCCAATAGATCCCAAGAGTATGGGAAGATGATGGGAATGGAGGTCCCAGCCAGCGGCCCCTCTGGATTCCATGGTGCACGAATATATGTGCATCTCACTTGCAAAGTATGGAAGTAACCTGGTTGGTGGTTTCAACCCCTCTGAAAATATCAAAGTCTGTTGGGATGATGACATATGGAAAGTCATAAAAAATGTTCCAAACCACCAACCAGTAACCATCTGAAATATGTGGGATATTGCCTTGAAATGGGTTACTCACCACTTACTGGGATGCACCTCCCTGAAGGCCGAACCCCCAATGGTTGAAAAAAAACCCTCCGTTTTTCTTCGTGACCTGGCCCATAAAACGGGACAAACCCCACCATCATTTTGGCGTTGTGTTCATTGCTTATCTTCAGTTAATCAACTTACAAGTAGCTATCATAACTCAAATAAAATCAGCTGTAAGTCCCATTGAATCCTCATGTTTCATAGTTACCCTCTGGTTATGACTAACAGTTCGCCATGGAAAGATCCACCATTTTGAATAGGAAAACCATCTATTTCGATTAGGGCCATCTATACCATGGCAAGTGCCATGACGCCCATGACGCCTGAGCAAAGCGCAGGTCTTGGGGAAGATGCGGTCGCCTCGGTCTGAATGGCTTTCAACATCGACCTATGTCCATATGGTGGTTGTTCTCGGTCTCAGAGAGGTTTCCATATTTTTCCATAGTTTTCCGATTTCCCATGTTTTTTTCGAACATCAAGGGAACATATAGCCTCGAGTCTCCATAATGGTCTTCCCAACGATTTTGTGTGTTTTCGGTTCCATGTTCCTTGACACAGATGGAGAGTACAGGATTTTCGGGTTGAGTACAGTCCCCCCTGAGGAGCTGACACTCATCAGTAAACTTTCTACCGTGATACAGAAGGACACGATTCCACTCCCCCTTCTCGTAGAGGAAACGATAGGCATCCTGATCTACAAGGTGGGAAATGATGGGAAATGATGATTTTTGCGGACATACGGACTCCGGGTTTTGGTGGTTTTTCCTAAGATTGAAACGTTGGGATTTGGTGGGCATTCCGTAATTTTTGGAGGTTTCACTCTGATACCCTCGCTGGAGTTTAAAAAATGTTCAGTCCCACAAGTGGGCTCCCAGGTATACTTTGGCTTAGAAACACATCCAACAATAGAATTACCAATCAACTCCTCCGCAAAACCTGCCACTCACATTCTGCAAACGCAATTCTGCGCAGAAATTGGGGGTTATGGGCTCCAATTCCCCAAGTCATGGCACTTTTCATGGGGAAATTGATAGTCCATGGGATTCGAAGATGGAACATAAGGCTCACCTTGAGAGGTCTCAAGCCCTACCAACCAGACAGGTGTTTTTTTTTAGCTCACGTGGTCTGAAAACATGGGGGGAAAAAAAACAATGGATTCTCCATGTTCTCGTCATGTTCTCCATTGGCCATCCCACGGCACCCGCTCTTCAGCGTCCTCAAAACCCGAAGCTGCTTCATCTGCCATTGCTCTTGCAGTTTCCTGCGCAGGACGGATTGACATGACGGGGTCCCAAGAGTTCCGATTGGGACAAGCGACAAACGAAGGGACAATGAATTGTCATTGATTCCATATCTGGTTGGCGGTTTCAACCCCTGAAAAATATGACTTCGTCAGTTGGGATGATTATTCCATTCCCAATTAATATGGAAAGTCATAATCCAGCCATATTCCAAACCACCAGCCAGTCATTGATTCCATATGGTTGAATGATAGGCTGACCATGGTGCCATGGCGCCATGTCGTCCTCTTGGATGGTGGGGAAATGCTCTTCGAGCAAGCTGCAGATCGGCAAGTCCTCGAGCCGCCAGATGTCGGGCTTCATCCCATTTGGGGGACGACATGAAAACCAAACCAGAGAGAAAAATAAGGAGAAAATGATGGAAGGCAAATTCAATGGGAGATCTCCAGGATCCTAAAATGGAGATACGTTAGTACCATTTTTGAGACCATATTTTGGGGGTATATCCCCTTACATAGCCCTTGACAAATGGATGATATCACTTTTGAAGACACTTCAGAACGTGCGGAGAAAGCATCAACCGATGAGGGTTTAGCAGCCACTGCTTTGCAACTGGGAGTGATTTGTCCTCGGGTTGTTTCTTCCAGTCCATTCCAAACATATCACTGTTAGGGTGAATTGGGGTTGGTTGTTCCAAATACACAACATATGTTCAAAATGTTTTTTGAAGGTAAAATGCTTGATTGCTCTTTCTGACTATTAGGATACTTGCAGACTTACAGTTCGTAATCCATTTTCCTCTATTGCTCTAGTGGTTATTGACCTCAGGTAAGTATATGATAGTATATGTGTATTGGGACATATCTTGATATGCTGGGACAATAGATGACAATAGTATCCGGTTACACCCTGATTTCATATGTTGGACACCAGTGGAATGGAACGGCGACTTGTGGCAAGAAATGCCAAGGTGTCTAAGGGGATCCATTCACTTACTACCGAGATAAAACCAAGACCCAAACAACGTGTAAATCACTTGTTCAAGGAGTTAGCCCATGAACCATCCAGATACATCCAGATACTGAATTGTGAGTGCAGTTGCTGGGATGGTACTGATTTGTGTCAAGGTCTTTCTTCAGACTCTTTTCTGAATCCCAAAGTTAGCACTCCTTTACTACATTTTACGACCGACGTGTCGTGTAGCTTGCTTCACCACTCCAAAGAATGCCAAGGTTTCCCAAGAAAAGAATAAAGAAAGCACAAGGAGGAAAGACCAAGAAGAAAGACAAATGCAGATAGACAAACAGAAAGACAGAAAGGGAGAAAGGAAGGAAACAGGAAAGGAAAGAAAAGAAGGAAGAAAGGAAAGAACGAAACGTAAGAAAAGAAGAGAAAAGGAAAGAAAAGGACAGAAAGGAAAAGGGAACACATGACGAAGATCACCTCCCTCGTTTTCTTGGGCCAAGGCCCGGCCCCGCCTTCCAGGTCTCTCTCGGCCAAATGGTCATGCTGCGAAGCCCCCGAACCTCGGTCCGATGACGGTCATGGATCAATGATCGTCATCCCTGGATATGAAAACATCATGGTTTTTAACTCGCTCCCCAACATCCCATATACATCCCATATACATCCCATAGACATCCCGTAGACATCCCATATACATCCCATAGACATCCCATAGACATCCCATAGACATCCCATATACATCCCATATACATCCCATATACATCCCATAGACATCCCATAGACATCCCATAGACATCCCATAGACATCCCATAGACATCCCATAGACATCCCATAGACATCCCATAGACATCCCATAGACATCCCATAGACATCCCATAGACATCCCATAGACATCCCATATACATCCCATAGACATCCCATATACATCCCATATACATCCCATATACATCCCATAGACATCCCATAGACATCCCATATACATCCCATATACATCCCATAGACATCCCATAGACATCCCATAATACATCCCATATACATCCCATATACATCCCATATACATCCCTATACCAATCCCATAGACATCCCAGAGCATCCCATAGACATCCCATATACATCCCAATATACTCCCATAGACTCCCCTAGACTCCCATAATAAATCCCATTACAATCCCATAGACTCCCCATAGACAATCCCAATAGACATCCCATAACACCCATATACATCCCTAGACATCCCATGACAAATCCCATAGACATCCCAGAGACAATCCCCATAGACATCCCATATACATCCCATATACATCCCATATACATCCCATAGACATCCCATAGACATCCCATAGACATCCCATATACATCCCATATACATCCCATATACATCCCATATACACCCCATAGACATCCCATAGACATCCCATAGACATCCCATATACATCCCATAGACATCCCATAGACATCCCATAGACATCCCATAGACATCCCATAGACATCCCATAGACATCCCATATACATCCCATATACATCTCATATACATCCCATATACATCCCATATACATCCCATAGACATCCCATAGACATCCCATATACATCCCATATACATCCCATAGACATCCCATAGACATCCCATAGACATCCCATAGACATCCCATAGACATCCCATAGACATCCCATATACATCCCATATACATCACATAGACATCCCATAGACATCCCATAGACATCCCATAGACATCCCATATACATCCCATAGACATCCCATATACATCCCATAGACATCCCATAGACATCCCATATACATCCCATAGACATCCCATAGACATCCCATAGACATCCCATAGACATCCCATAGACATCCCATAGACATCCCATAGACATCCCATAGACATCCCATATACATCCCATATACATCCCATATACATCCCATATACATCCCATACACATCCCATAGACATCCCATAGACATCCCATAGACATCCCATAGACATCCCATAGACATCCCATAGACATCCCATAGACATCCCATAGACATCCCATAGACATCCCATATACATCCCATATACATCCCATATACATCCCATATACATCCCATATACATCCCATATACATCCCATATACATCCCATAGACATCCCATAGACATCCCATAGACATCCCATATACATCCCATATACATCCCATAGACATCCCATAGACATCCATATACATCCATACATCCATACATCCCATAGACATCCCATAGACATCCCATAGACATCCCATAGACATCCCATATACATCCATCATCCATAGACATCCCATAGACATCCCATAGACATCCCATATACATCCCATATACATCCCATATACATCCCATATACATCCCATATACATCCCATATACATCCCATATACATCCCATATACATCCCATAGACATCCCATAGACATCCCGTAGACATCCCCTATACATCCCATATACATCCCATATACATCCCATATACATCCCATATACATCCCATATACATCCCATAGACATCCCATATACATCCCATATACATCCCATATACATCCCATATACATCCCATATACATCCCATAGACATCCCATAGACATCCCATAGACATCCCATATACATCCCATATACATCCCATAGACATCCCATAGACATCCCATATACATCCCATATACATCCCATAGACATCCCATAGACATCCCATATACATCCCATATACATCCCATATACATCCCATATACATCCCATATGCTCCATATATACCCTCTGTACTGTTGCTCTTCCTGCATCGTATGAAAGTTTGTCATATGAAATATCAAACTGCAGTTATCCTGGAGTAGATAGAATATGGAAAATGTAAACAACCTTCAACAAATGGGAATATGGGTAAAATCCCAAATTCATCCAAATTCTGTACACTTCAGGATGGTTTGAAATCCCCATTGTTGTTGTTACCCTCTGTTAATTTAAGATAGCTATGGAGAATATCACCCTGTTTTTCATAGGCAAATCATCAAACTCAATGGACCATGGCTCCCACTACTTTTTTGGATGATAGAATATGGAAAATGCCTAAAATGCCTCAAATTCTATCATTAGAACATGAATTTTGGAACATAGAATAACAACATGGATTTTGGAACATAGAATCCAGAATCCATGTTGTTCCAGAATCCATGTTGTTCTTCTTGTTGACGATTTGTCATACCCCTTTCATCCCAAAGACCCAGACCCAGAAAAGCCTGGGCGTCCAGACCCAGATCTGAGGCGTGTGATGGAAGTTCTGCGAGGGCCAAAGATCAGGACGAATCAATGGCGGATACTGGTTACATCCATAGTAAATGATACTGGTTAGTAATGTTAATTAATTTCAGTAGTTGTATAAATGATACTGGTTAATATAGTGAACAAAACCATAATTACTAGTTATAATCGTTGTAATAGTAACATCTTTGGGACCATTATGTTGTTTTAAAAAAATAGGTGATATGATCATGCTTCCGGGATCACCCAGTGATGATCCTCAGAGTGGGGATGCTGGGGATATAACCAACATGGATATATGTGGCTGATATGGCGAATTGTAGAGGAATTTAACATAATTTAACCAACAAAACTGTGTTTTCAGCCATGGTATAAGGATAAATGTACCGATATATGTATATATATATACCCTCTGGATATTTAACATAGCCATGGAAAATGGCCTATTTATAGATGGTTTACCTGGGTTTACCTATAAAAAATGGTGATTTTCCATGGCCATTTTAGTCATAACCAGAGGGGGTATATCATATTAGTCACCAATTTGTATGACACAAATTGGTCTGTCTGAAAATGTCGCATCCCCAGCTGCTGGATGTTTAAAAATTATCTGCGCTGTCAAGTTGTGGTAACCCAAAGGATTCACCCCTTAAAGAAGGTGTGTTGAACACGTTACATTTATACCACTATAAAATTTAGGATTGGATTTTACTTTTCTGCGTCGTCTTGGGGTTTGTTATAGATGAATTGAGGAATCAACTAAGTGGGAAACATTGGGAAGTCCTGCCCGTTAGCAAATTTGTTCACTAGAGGAGACGATATGGTCGTGCACGGTACTTATTAAAAATTTAGAAATTGTTCCGGACTGAATCTATTTATGCAGTCATGTGGGATGTCTTCAAGCTTCTCACTTCAGACAGATGGACAAACAGACTGATGACATGGATGATGGATCTGTAAATCCATGGTGTCATATGGTGTGTATGCGTTCACCCTGGTATATCAGGGGCTACTCCCAAAAAAACAAAGCTAGTAATTACCCTCTGGTTATTTCACGTAGCTATGTAAAATGAACCATCTTTCATGGGTATATAAATCAGCATGTTTATCATCTATAAATGTGCCATTTTCCATAGCTACTGTGGAGGGAAGAAATCCTGCACCAGTTGGTAAATGGTTTATCCCGTTATAATCCCACTATTTACAGTGTTTCGTAGTTACCAAGAGTTACCAACCGGTGCAGGATTTCTTCCATCCACAGTATATTGAATGATCAGAGGCTATATCTGGTTGGTGGTATACCTACCCCTCTGAAAAATGATGGAGTTCGTCAGTTGGGATGATGACATTCGATTATTCCATTCCCAACTGTTTCTGGAAAGTCATCATCCAGCCATATTCCATTGTTCCAAACCCCCAACCAGATAAGGTTTTATCATGTTTTATCCCCAGGTTCCCATGGCTGGTTATGACTAACTGACTTCAGGATTTTCGTGAAAATCCTGAAGGTTCCTAAAAGGACGACCGGTTCCCACGTTTTTTGGCGCAAGAAAGTGGTCAATTCCACAACTGGAAATACCTAAACCATCTATTTCTATGGGCCATTTTCCATGGCTATGTTAAATAACCAGATGGTAAGTCAAAGCCATGGTCCCCGGTGAAATAGTTGAAATAGCCTCTGGTTATGTTATGTCAAAATAGCTATTGAAAATTGCCATTTAGTTCGTTGATCTACCCATAAGAAACGGTGATTCTCCATAGTTATGTAAACGTTTACCAGAGGGTAGCTGGCAGTTCTCATAATATCATAGGTTATGACCTATCCCCCAGTCATTTTCGAGTTGATCGACCAATCCTCAACAAGTTCATTGAAATTGAAATCGTTCATATTCACTTATCTGGATAAATTATAATAGTTCACTAACCTGAATTAAGGCCATTTGGAGATGATTTCCCTTATTAACCATGATTCCAGGGTTCGGTCGCAGTGAGGTCGTTATAATTTACCCAGATTTATTGAGGTCCATCTATTCAACTTATTCACCCAAATATCTTCAACTCCAGTTGGGTGCTAATCCATAGTTGCATGTATTTGCTGCTACAACCTCCAAGTTTGTAGGGAAAGAGGTGGTACAAAATCATGTGTATGTATATGATGATATATTATATCAGATAATATTATATATATATACATCATGTTATATATATACACATCATTATATATATATATACATCAATATATATAACTCATGTCTTACAATTTCACTCATTTTTTTCATCTGCTCATGATTTTTCTCGGGGCCCAGGCATCCCAGGGCACAGCTTCGCCAGGGGCGTAGTGCCGCTGTTGACCTCTTTGGACAAAACGAAAACTTGGCGTTTATGAGATTTAATGGGATTTAACGAGATTTCAATGGGATTTAATGGATCTTAATGGGATTTCAATGGGATATAACTGACATATCAAAGGAATATAAAATTATATATATATATGCTACCCCCCCCCAAGACCTACATTTTTTGTATTAGGTATGTCCTTGGCTGCCTTGTCTTTCTTCTCATCTTCTCACCTATTGCAACACTGCATCAGGAAAGTAGCTTGTGCGCATGCACCTGGACACATCTCGCCCACATATGTAGCTGTAGCATAGCACATGTGAAGAAACTGACCACGTAGGTGCATGAACACTGAGAGCACCTGGGTGGGTGGGAAAGGACAAGCAATACACTAGACATTTTGTGTACCAGATATGTCCTTGGCTGCCTTGTCTTTCTTCTCATCTTCTCACCTATCGCAACACTGCATCAGGAAAGTAGCTTATGCGCATGCACCTGGACACATCTCGCCCACATATGTAGCTGTAGCATAGCACATGTGAAGAAACTGACCACGTAGGTGCATGAACACTGAGAGCACCTGGGTGGGTGGGAAAGGACAAACAAGACACGAGACATTTTGTGTACCAGATATGTCCTTGGCTGCCTTGTCTTTCTCCTTATCTTCTCACCTATTGTAACACTGCATCAGGAAAGTAGCTTGTACGCATGCACCTGGACACATCTTGCCCACATATGTAGCTGTAGCATAGCACATGTGAAGAAACTGACCACGTAGGTGCATGAACACTGAGAGCACCTGGGTGGGTGGGAAAGGACAGAGAATGTATTGCTTTGGATGCATGAGCCCAAGTGTAGCATTATCATAGCGCATAACTCAATTGGACCGAGGAACAACGAGACACCAATCGAGACATATTCCATGAAGAAGACCTGGCAGAAATTGGATCAAAAAGAAGCTTTCGGCACGATTGTGAACACGGAAGACCCGAAGAGAATGGCACTGGGGCAGTGACAATGGATTGCAAGAATGGAGCAGTGACAATGGATGGCAGGAATTGTATTTATGTCTTTTCCAGCCTAAAGGAATGCATCCAGAATGCATTCTTCCCAATATCTAAGATCCAAGATCTAAGAATTGCGGAGAAGTCTTGTGCAAATCTTGGGTTTGGAATTTGCCAGAATACTCTTACCAATCCCTATGAAAATTCTTTAGGAATCCAAGATTTTGATCATGCATTCTTCCCAAGATCTAAGATCCAAGATCTAAGAATTGCGGAGAAGTCTTGTGCAAATCTTGGGTTTGGAATTTGCCAGAATACTCTTACTAGTCCCTATGAAACTTCTTTAGAAATCCAAGATTTTGATCAAAAGTCTTGTGGGAAACTTGGATCTTGGATTTTGAATCTTGCAAAGAATGCATTCAGAATGCATTCTTTCGGCAGGATTCAAGATTCAAGATTTCTGGGGACTCTTTGGGGCAAATCTTGAATCCACCCCCTGGATTCAAGATTCAAGATTCAAGATTCCTGAATCCAGGATTCAAGATTCAAGATTCAAGATTTCTGGGGACTCTTTGGGGCAAATCTTGAATCCGGATTCAAGATTCAAGATTCCTGAGGACTCTTTCCAGCAAATCTTGAATCCAGGATTCAAGATTCAAGATTCAAGATTTCTGGGGACTCTTTGGGGCAAATCTTGAATCCGGATTCAAGATTCAAGATTCAAGATTTCTGAGGACTCTTTCCAGCAAATCTTGAATCCAGGATTCAAGATTCAAGATTCAAGATTTCTGGGGACTCTTTGGGGCAAATCTTGAATCCGAATATACACTATATAACATCCCCCAAATCCCGGAATCCAAAATTACATACCAAAAATAACAAATTTTACTGTAAATACCAGTACTTTTGTGAAATTGGTAGGTCTTGGGGGGGGGTACCATTATGTTGTACTCAACTTCCGGCTGCAACTGCAAACTGGCTGGGATCCCTTTTTGCATGGACCACAGCGCCATGTAAGAAATGTGCCAGCGCCGCTGAAGACTGCATAGCCACCGCCAAGCAGCACCTGCAGATGCCAAAAAGCCATCCAGCTAAGACCTTCTGCAGGGCGTAGGGCTCCAAGGCGTCCAACCTGGCTTCAAAGGCAGGGCTCCAAGGCGTCCAACCTGGCTTCAAAGGCAGTGACAAAGCCAGCAGCACCCTTCCAGACAGCGCAACTCGTTGGGGAGGCGGGATTGGGCCCCAAGAAGCTAGCAGCAACCAGCATCGTAAAACATGCGTGGACATGTTGTACTCAACTTCCGGCTGCAACTGCAAACTGGCTGGGATCCCTTTTTGCATGGACAACAGCGCCATGTAAGAAATGTGCCAGCGCCGCTGAAGACTGCATAGCCACCGCCAAGCAGCACCTGCAGATGCCAAAAAGCCATCCACCAAAGACCTTCTGCAGGGCGTAGGGCTCCAAGGCGTCCAACGTGGCTTCAAAGGCAGTGACAAAGCCAGCAGCACCCTTCCACATCCAAAAAAGGCGCGAGGGTGAGGAACAGCACCGCAGCCACACAAGGCGAAGCGTTGTAAAAACCCCTCAGCGGTCGAGATGAGGAAAAAGGGAAGCGGCAGCACGTATAGAAGCAAGGCTGTGCGAGGAGAGCTCCTTCAAAAAGCTCAGGGCGGCAACCTCCTGCAAGTAGGACTCCAAAGTAGCAATCTGCTTGAGCCGCATGGCCCAAGGGAGCTTGGACACACTACCGCCTTTACGGTAGAAAGCGACCGCACCTCCACCACGCAAACCGCCAGGAGTGACACCAGGGCAATGCTTGACATCGAGCGTCTGGAGCAGGTAGTCCCACCGCCGTCTGAAAATCTGTGCCGATCCAGGATATAGGTCCTCATCAGAATCAGCATCAAGATAAATACGACGCAGCAGGTTCACCACATAGTTGTTGCTGATCTTCAAATGCTGAACTCGGGCTGCTTGCCGGTAGCTGGTCTTTGAAGAACGAAGCAGCAGGAAAGCGGCAGAGCTTTCATGCATCATGTCATCCGGCAACAGAAGATCAGACCCTTTGCAGCGAAAAACTTCTCCTGCTCTCGCTATGCCAAAAAAGCAAAGAAGCACTACTCCACACCATCGTTTCCAACCATGTGCCCAGGCAAGGGAAATGAGTGCTTCTGCAAGTGGTTCAGGAACAGGGACACGGTGTTGAACTGGTTCAGCCTTCTCCCACCTGGTTGCGAGGTCCCAAGCTATACCAACATAAGGCTTGAGCACAGGAACCTTCCGTAAGGCAGTGAGAATGAGGTGTCTGTAGTAAAGAAGAGAACCACCAGCGCAAAAGTCAAGATCTCCATATCTTCTAATGGAGTGGGCCAGGTGCAGTGGCACCTTCAAAAAGAGACCAACCACGTCCCCGAGGCTGAGCTGCCCCAGATGAAGATACCAGCTGATGAACCACCCGCTGGTACAAATAGAGCCGCACAGCCACCAAAGCCTCGAGCAAAGGCCCCAAGAGAATGCCGCAAAGGAGTCCAAGAAGTAGTGAAGGCCAGTGAAGTTCAAGGAAGCCATGTGCAGGGCAAAAGAGCGCTGGTGGATGGGCGCCCTCAAGCAGACGCCAGAACAGCGCCAAAGAAGTCCCAGTGGAGACCGTGGCGAGAGCGGTGCTCATGCAACACTACCCTTGATCCCCAAGAAGCTAGCAGCAACCAGCATCGTAAAACATGCGTGGACATATATTATTAGCATGTTGCTCTAATACATTTTCTTTAGACCCCTGTGTTACCTTAACTGTGGGTTTGTGCCACCTTAACTTTTTATTTGTGTCACCTTAACTTTTTATTTGTGTCACCTTAACTCTTTATTCTTTGTGTTACCTTAACTTTTTATTTGTTGCACCTTAACTCTTTATTTGTGTTACCTTCACTTTTTATTTGTGTCACCTTAAATCTTTATTCTTTGTGTTACCTTAACTTTTTATTTGTTGCACCTTAACTCTTTATTTGTGTTACCTTCACTTTTTATTTGTGTCACCTTAAACTCTTTAATTATTTGTGTTACCTTAACTTTTTATTTGTGTCACCTTAACTTTTTATTTGTGTCACCTTAACTTTGGGGATTTGTGTAAATTTAACTCTCGGACTTAAGGTGACACAAATGGTCTCATTTGGGGGGTCATTTTGGTGTCAGGCTGGTGGCATTTTAAAACCCTGCCAAGTTATATCCCGCTATATATTAAAGTTGTACCATAAAAAGTGAAAAAAAAAGTATGGGATCCCCCAGTAAAAGTTGTTTGGTACTCGCCCCTTCATGACAGGTGCCGTTGATCCCAAACATATAGTTATATCTATTATCCTCATCTATTATATTATATATATACATGATATATGATATATGATATATGATATATGATATATAGTTATGTAAGTTATATATATATATATGTATGAATCATCAAATTATCATCATATATCATTATATCATCATATATCCCCACTATTCCCCACTTCTTATCCTCTTCTTTGCCCAACAAAAACACTAGGACCACCATGAAGACCTACAGATGAAGGCACCGAAAACCCGCCCGACAGCCTTCCCATCCCATCTGACGAACTTGCTGAAAGAGCTGCTGCGCCTTGCAGCGGAGCCCTCTGCTGATTCCACATTTGCATACATTTGCGAAGTGGAAAATCACCTTTGGTATCAATCTGGTTGGTGATTTCAACCCCTCTGAAAAATATGAAAGTCAGTTGGGATGATGACATTCCCAATATATATGGAAAAAAAAAAGTTCCAAACCACCAACCACTGATCATAGGTATTAATTATATTGGTTATCAATGTGTTTCATTGGATAATCATTATGTTCATAGGTGATTTTCATCATGTAACCATCATATTTCATCATCTAATTCATCTATTTCTATGGGCAATCATGATTTGTTCCTCATATTTCATCATCTATTTAACTATGGGCCATGGCTTCCATAGCTATGTGAAAATTTACCAGAGGATCATATAAACAAAATCCGGTGATTGAGCCACCCCAATTCCTTCGCAACTCGTGAGTCGACCAGGAACCCCGAACCCAGGTGAATCTTAGGGGATTTTTTGAGCTGGCGAATGTACATACCATTGACAGCTAAAGATTGAAGTACTCAAGTATCTAACCAAGGTTGACCCAGGTAAGATGAGGTAACATGACGAATGGTAACAAATAAAAACCTCCAAATCAAGCCGTCTGTTTTGGCTGGGTAAGATTCACATTCCTATCATTGTTACAGTCGACCTGTCCCTCAGTAAAAGTCGCTTGAAGTCGGTTGGACCAAAGACCCGAAACATCGTACCTCCCGACCATTTTGTAGGCTTAGATAGAGAATGGTACAGGAAGGCCCCCCAAATTGTTTTGGTTCCATCCACCACAATCAATCCTACCATTGGCTTGGTTGTAAACCAATAGAAACCTATCGTTTGTAGCCCCCCTCTTGTACAAAATGTTTAATATAATGGATGCGGTTTGATCATACACATGATATTGTGATATGCTATGATGCTGATAACTTGTATAATGAGATTTTGGTACGAGTATAACTCCCTAAAAGATAGAATAGTAATCGCCACTCTTTTAGTAGGATGTTGCTTTTCTGCATCCTTTCGGGGGTTGCAAAAATTAATATATAGCCAAGGGTCGCAAATCCACCGAGTTTTTTGCCGAAGAAGTGGGAAACATCATGAAAAATACTCAAACATCTAGATTAATCTAGATTAATCTAGATTTGGATCCGGTTACTTTGCCTCGTCATATTTGCCCGCATTCTTCAACTTCAGAGTGCTGACTTTGCCATACAAAGGCACCTGTAGCACTGCTGCCGCGCAAGGGAGTAGTTGTCAGGCTGCCCAGGCTGCAGCTTTTCAGGAAAGTGTTTCTCTATATAAATGAAAGACCACCCAACCCTGAGGCTCGTTACTAAACGTTTGGTGGTTTCTGGTGAAACCCCAATTTTTGAGAAATCCTATTTTTTTGAGCAAATGACATTAATATAGTGGGTGTTGGGGGGGTCAACACCAACCTCTACCTCAAAATCTGGATTTCGACGAGAACCTCCAATGGCTGACATGGCCCTACTGAGTAGCGCTGGTTGGTTGAAAGGGGGTCAAAATCCGATCGACTCCTGCCAAATGTGGTTGGTTCATGGCCATCTTGTATATGGAATACCCCATGTTGCTGATATTTACCCTGCTGTAAACTTTTACGATGTGGAAAAGCCACCATTTGTCAGTCGATAATTTTCCAAACCATGGCTTTTCCACTATGCTAGTTGCTGTTAGTTTACCCCAGGGTAATCCTTGTGGCAACCAGGCAGAACCTGTCGGGGGTCCCGACACAGCGACATTCTAACTCTCCTTTGGTGTCAAATTCCTGGAGACAATCTGGATGCGCCATCCTGCCGTTCGGAACTGAAAGAGAGTTCTCTTTCAGTGCGAAAAACAACAAGAATTGCCCTTTGGGAAAAACTACTAGAGTAGTGAACCTCACCAGCATTTACATGCATGTATCAATGGATTGGTTTAAGGGAAAATTTACAGGAAAACATCATATTTGATGGGAAATTCCATGGTTTCCTGTAGATTTTCCCTTAAACCAATCCATTGAATGTACAAGTATCAATATATGCCCATTATGCCCCCTATGGTTATTTAACGTAGCCAATGGCAGCTATGGAACATCGGGATCGGAGTGTGAATCCAAGCAGTTTCCTGAAGGTCGACACCAATATCCAAAAGGATCCAAAAGGCAGAAACGATCAGAAGAACTTCAGCACCAAAAGCCACTTCAGTGCTGAACCAATACAATTTCAAAACCAACAACACGTCAGTAAAACATCTATAGCTTTTCACCATCTTCGAAGTATTTCCAGGTGCTTCAAATGGTGAAACAAAAAAAAAAACGCATCTGATCCCCTGTCCCACCAGGTGCCCCAACAGCTTCTTTGCAAAGCCGATGCCCGCAGTGATGAACTCGTTGTCACGCGACTCCTGATCAAAAACGCCGAGGAAATGTCCCTTAAAATCAACGATGACTATATGGTTTGATGGGATTTCCAGCGGATTCAATGGATGTGAATGGGATTTTAATGGGATTTACCATGATGCGAATGGGATTTTAATGGGATTTACATGGATTTACTATGATGTTAATGGGACTTAAGGAGATTCAAACATATTCAAGCAACAATTTTTTTTGATTTAATGGGATTTACCCTGGGCAAACATACAAAAAGATGTGGAAAAGCCATAGTGTCCCGTTCGGAAAGCGATCTACTGACAAATGGTGGGTTTTCCACATCTATGTACAAGTTTCAGTAGTAATAGTGCGGATATAAATGGGATATAATAATGAGAAAATTCATGAGAATATTAATGAGGATATTGATCATTGACATTAATCAAAATATTAATGGAATATGTAATGTATATAACCAACTTGATATGATGTCTGGGTGTCTGGTTGGCGGTTGAGCCAATCCCCCCTATGTATACAATCATACAATATTATACAATATTATACATGTATACATACATGTAGAGTCTGTTAGCAGAAAATCATCCCATTTCGAGGGTTTTCAGATCCAGATGTGCATCTGACATGAAGATGGTTTCCCTAGAATTCAACATTCGAAAAATGGCTTGAGATGGATTTTTGGTTCATCCCCCAACTACTACAGTAGCTAGTGCTACCAGTACCACCAAATCTTGACCAACTCCAGGAGCTCAAAACGGGCCGGAGCCAGGTTCCTTGTCGAAGACGTGATCCTTGGTGTCTAAGTCCAGAAGCAAATGCGTCATGTTCTTCAGTTCCCAGTAGTCCTGACCGATGGACCGCTGCGAACGGGAGATAACCAAGCTAGAACTATGGTACCATCTGGTTATGACTAACAGTTTGCCATGAAAAATCACCGTATTTTTAATAGGTAAACCATCTATTTCGATTAGGGCCATCTATACCATGGCTAGTCATAACCAGATGGTAAAAACAACCACTTTTTTAACTGGAAACTGGAAGTGTAGGCCCATCCTGGCCAAACGCCATCAGGATTTCTCAGAATTTGTGCCAGGTGAATGGCTTGCTAAACTGTCACTCAGACGCTACAGTAGGCGAAAGGGATTCAACTCCGGATCTGCTTCAAAATTCATCCACACCATTGATGTAGAGTCGACTTTCTGCAAGTAAGACATGGTGATCTTCATGACATCAATATCAGTCAATATCAATAGATTGGTCTGGAAATGGGGTCGACGGTCTATGGATAAAATGGTGATTTCATAGATTTACTAGGAAAACATGATGATAGACTATATGGATATATTTTTTTTGTTGGTGCCCTATTTTCAGATAGATCCAGATGGGTTCCTTTCATCCCTCAGGAAAGACTGGAATTGAGGTGGGAATTGGCTGGATTCTGACGCAGGCCCGCTTCATAGAAAGATGGAGAAAACATATCACTGGTTGGTGGTTGAGCCACCCCTCTGAAAAATATGAAAGTCAGTTGGGATGATGACATTCCCAATATATGGAAAAAACAAATGTTTCAAACCACCAACCAGAAATCAGTAAAGATTTGTGAGCTCGTAAGGATAAAAACTGTGCCTTGTTGAACGAAACCCACGTGTGCAAAAAAAATATGGTGAGGATTAGGATTCCCGACAAATAGATCTGCAATGAATGGGTTATATATATGATCCATGTTATTCATGTGGGCAAGTACAGATGAAAACCCAAGCGTTTTCATCAAACATTCTGAAGAATGTCACTGACTCGATCCATCAGGTTAGTTACTGTTCAATCTCTTCAGTTTTGTAGACCTCCAAGAATCAGCATCTGTCAATGAAGACCAAGGAATCCACCATCTGTTTTTGGCCCAGTCACAATGGCGCCAGTCCGCCCCGTGACCACCGTCACCGCGGTCCTGGGATGTCTCCATGACTTGCTTCACACAGGACAGCGCGTGCCTCGATGCAAGGACAGCCGTGGCTGAGGTTTGGAGCCCTGGAGCCCTGGAGGTTTGGTGAACCCTGGAGCCATGGAGGGACACAGCTAGTGTTACTGGGTGCCGGGTATGCCAGGTATGGCACCCTTTGGCAAACATGGCTGGGATCGAACTGTTGATATCAGCTGATATCATCTAGACTTGGTGATGTCCCACCAAGCTAGGTGAGATTGCCGCTTGGGAACTGCGATCATCAAACCATTCTCCGGGACATCTTTCTGATGTCAACACATACATGGGAAAACGTCAAGCAACGATGGAGTACACCCGGGAATTGTCAAAAGTGGATCAGGGTTGCTCCAAACGCCCAAACGGTACAAGCAGGGCAAATTGAACAACAAGAGACCAATTACCTTGTGGCTATCCTTTACCCATAATTCGTTGGAGTACTTCAGGGGATTGCTGTTAACACACCCGTAAGGCACGACTGCAAAGGGGGCTTAAGTCAACGCACCCGCGTAGAAAGTCGACGCACGTGCTCAGCAAAACACAATGGGCACAGTACTCGATACATTTCGATACCAGTGTCCTGATATGAAGGAAAAACAAGTAAATTCACCACACACTGCACGCACATCATCGAAAACCTTAAGTTTTTACTGGTTTTCTGCTGTGTTTTGAAAGCAAAATCCAACGCGCACAACATGCGCGTTAAGCGATGAAGATTTTCATTGCTAGGCATCCGTCCAGATCCAGTGTCCAACAAGCGAATCAAAATCAACCACACAGATCCAAAACCTGATGGATTTAGTGGGATTTCATGAGATTTAATGGTGAATGTCAGTCCATTTTGGGAGTCTGTACCCCCTTCTTAACGTTGAGGTCGGCCACCCTTCGACCGCGGCAATTTCTCAGGCACTGGGCACCCGGTCGTCCGCTTTGCCGTGTCGTTCTTGTCCTGCCGACTCATCGACCGCAGGAGCTTGGAGGATAGCCAAAAAAAAACTGATGATGTGATATGATGTGATATGATGTGATAAATGTTGGCAACACATAAAAAGTTAGGAAGTCTGGTAAGTCCCCGTTTTTCTTCGGTTTGTCCCATACGAAGTAGGAATGCAAGCAACTCGTCACCCGTGTTGGATCGGTGGAAGGTCCTCCAAGTATGAACCAGTCATTTCTTTCTGCATTGGAAGCTAGTTCCACAAAATGGAAACAAGATTTGAAATGACAATCTCCCATTAATAATGTTTTTTATTAATGATATTAAACCTTTATTTACCATTAATAAACCAGATTATTATTATTATTACGGTATATTATGGTAATGAATGATGGGTAATGATGGTTGAAAATAATGGTTGTTCCATCAAATGGTAATGTTCCAATGGTAATGGTGAACTCTGCATCTTGATCAAAACTCCACAATCGTGTGATCTTCAAATCCACTATCTTTGATAGTAACCGAAAAACACATGTGTCATATTGTTTGATATTGTTTGAATCTCATTGTTTCATGTTTCAAAACAAAAAATGTGTTTGATAGTATCTGATAGTAACAATCCAATCCATCACATGTTTGGTCGTTTTTTTTTTCCATACCCTCTGGTTATGTCAAAATAGCTATTGAAAATGGCCCATTGAAATAGTGGTCTTTCCCATTGAAAATGGTGATTTTCCATAGTTATTTGTATGTTTACCAGAGGGTACGTTCCCATGAACAAATCACTGGTGCCCAGTCACATCCGAAGCACCGAAGCCAGCGCCTCCAAGAAGGCTTTCAGCTCAAGGACACAGGGATGCCTGTAGCGTTGCAAGATCGATCGGATCGTCCCGGGGAAAGTAAGGGGGAACCGGGAACTGGATTTCATGGTCATGTTTTAGATGGACAAAGGGGGAAAGTGATATGTTGTAATGTGATTTAACATGACTTAATATGACTTAATATAATTCAATATAATATGATGTAATGATGTAATATGATTCATGATGTAATATATGATTTAATAGGATTTAATACCGGTACGATTTAATATGATTTAAAGGAATATATGGGTGAACTAAGCCACATTGGGCATGTAAATCATCTGGTGAGTGGTTAGTACCTTTGTGATGTGATTCTCCAGGAATTTCAGCAGAACTTTTCCCCGTCATTTAGTGCTCTACGCATAGAACATGGACTTAAATAGTATAGAAGATCTTGGTTTTCCTTGGCCATACATCACTCGACCCTTCGCCTCTGTTCACAAATTTGGATATGATATGATATGATATATTGATATATATATATATATATTGATATCATAGGACCTGGGGGTACCCCCCACACTCTGCAACCAGGGCTGGTTGGGGCCCCCCTATGGCCGGGTCAAAAATGATCGTCGCCTCAGGGTACGATCGTCGCAATGAAGCTGTCCGGCTTCCTGGTGGTCGTTGGGTCGTTGGGTCGGTGGCATGGCTTCCTCCGGTGTCAAACGTGGCTAGCTGGGAAATCCCCGAACGTGCTATGGGGTGTTTTCATGGCAAAGTGTGAGAGGATCATCTATAAATGTGGGATTTTCGATTGACACGTTTGATTACCAGAGGATAACATGAATGTGTAACACACAGTATGCATGCAAATGTATCTATGCGTTTGGGTAGTTTTTACCCCCAAAACTGCTCAAAATTGATCTTTACAGACAATATTGACGATACACCTTTGGAATCGGGTACCTCACTTTCAGACAAACCCCTAGCCTTTCCTCAAGAATGTTACTGCACCATCCCAGGCTCTGAGGATACCGGCGTGCGTGAAGAGCGCATAGGGTGCTGGAGTCTCCCCGGTGCCCTGGAGCATCGTCCGGTTCTGGATCACTCGTCCCGTGAATCCCACCAGATATTGACCAGGAATTGGCCAAGTTCAGGAAATTACATAACCATGGGAAATGGACCATTTACAGGTTATATATAGGTTATATATATATAATCTATAAATGGGAATATATATGGAATATGTAAGGTATATACCTGGTTGGTGGTGCAAACACACCATCTTGAAAAATGATGGAGTTCGTCAATGGGTTTCGGATGACATCCCAGCCATATGAAATGGAAGTCATAATCCAGCCATGTTCCAGTCACCACCAACCAGATATGATATACCATTTATAATGGTTATCCCTATTAAATCCCATGAAATCCCTATATTTCAGCCATGTTCCAGTACCAAGCAGATTGCTAGTCATGGAGGTCATCCCAGCACGATGAATCCCTAGGGATTGACCGTTGATCCGCCTCGATGGTCTCATCTTTGGCTCCAAAGAAGCTACCTGAACCAAAAATATAGGGGATATATGGGAATATTCTGTGAATATACAGTATTCTTAAGCAGGGATTTAAGGTGCTTGACAAAAATCAGATTCTGATTTGGGAAAGAAAATCAACATGGCTTCTGCCCGCACTCAAACAGTTTCGAGAGAAAGAAATTCATGGACAAACATGAAAAATATTGCAAAATATGGCAAAATATTGCAAAATATTTGAAACATGTCATCTGGAAACATCGAAACGATGTCATCTTTGCACGATGAAACGGAGTGCTTCTGTCACGTGTTGAGACCCAGTCATCCTTGCAGGACAGTAACGGCCATGAGTTGGGGCTGGTAAATCCCCATTTTAAGACATACCCCAATGATATTGTTGGTTCCAGATTAAATTTCTATCCCTGCAAAATGATTGGCAGAAGTACTCCCATTACATTCCCAGTCTTGTTGATAAAAAAAAAATCGCCATGTATTGGCAAAAAATCACAATGTTTGACCACCCAAAAGATGCAAAGTTTGTGAAATCCTACAAGAATAGTGATAGATTGAACCGTGTCTATCTTCTTTGGTGGTGTTTCATGATAAAATATGTATGTACATATATATATATATATGGAAAAAAATAAAAACAATCACGAACCTGAATAAAATCAAACATGTTGGGATAGTTTACCCCAATCCACTTCCCATCACTCCAGCGACGTCGCGACGTGAGGTCGTGATGAAATTTCTCCAGATATAATTAATGTTATATATCCCATTAAAAAAAAAAAACATTCATACGGTGGTTTCCTAAGATAGGGGGTACCCCAAATCATTCAAAATTAGACCATTTTAGTACTGAAACTTATGGTTTTGGGAATCCCCCATTTTAGGCAATGTCCCTATCCCCACGGGTTGGTGGTTTGAACCCCTCTGAAAAATATGAGTTCGTCAGTTGGGATGATCAAATTCCCAATATATGGAAAGTCATAATCCAGCCATGTTCCAAACCACCAACCAGATATATTGTTATTCCAATTATTAACCATTATGAACCATAGATTAACCATAGATTAACCATAGATTATGGAAAGCCACTCAGCCCACTATATCTCCATGATCTGTCGGCCGCCAAGCATCCAATAGTCTTGAGGAGATCAAAGGCAGCTGCTCTTTGGGACCAAAACTTGGACGCGGACAAAATAAAACATTGGGATGTTCGTAAAGCAAACACAATTAACAATATCCCGATTAGTAATGATTGATAGAACAACAATATTATAGTAATATTACTAACACCATGGTTGATAGAGTGATGAGTAATGATTACAGTAATATTGATTATTGATTAAACATGACTAAAAATGCAGTGAGAATCAATAAACATTGTTCCCTTTGATGGTTTGAAACTGTTAGTAAAGCAATGTCATAAACCACCCGTATCTTGATAGTTTCAGCCCCACTGATTTATGGCAAATTTGGGGTTCGCAGAAACTATTGTTTTACTATTGTTTTAGAGATCATGTGTGACCAACGTGGTTTCACCGGTGGCAAGATTCGTGATGGAGATTTCACCCAAATGGGGATTTAATGGGATGTTGAAGGGATGTTAATGGGATATTGACATTGATGCTATAGCCTCTGGTAAAAAAAATTGCTATGGAAGCCATGGCCTATTTACAAAGGATATATGAAGAATGGTGTTTGTCCATAGCTATGTTAAATTACCAATGGGCAGTACAAAGAATAATGAAAATACGGAAAATAATGAAAATAACTTACAATGGATAGTAATTATATAATGGTTTAATATAAATTTAATAGAAACGTTGATGACAATCTTCATAACACTACCAATAATAATAATCATAATAATAATACTCATACTCATACTCGTGAAAAATTATCCACTCAACCAAAACCTCAAGATACTGGGCGCGCATTCACTCTGGATGAACCAACCAAACGGAGAAGTGAAGCAACACAACGGGTGTATGCTTCAGCCGCTTCCAGAGCGGCATCCTTCAAAATTGATGATCATTCATATCATAATTCATATCCATCAAATCCCTACGGTGGTTGCGAAATCCTGCACCACCAACCGGATGGTTGAAACATGTTGAAACCCTCTAAAGAATGGGATTAACATGGGATAAACGACCGTTGTCAACTGGTGATAACCGGATTTCTTCCACCATGAAATCCCTATGGTTTTCGCTCCCGAAAAGCTGAGGCACTGCATAAAGCACCAGAGCGCCTCAAAAAAACGGGCCAACGATGCCCCAGGAAACCCTACACTGGTAATCATCCATAGGCCATAGAAAACCATAGGAAAACCATAGGAAAATGGTGGTTTAATGGTGGTTTAATGGGGTTTAACCAACAAAATGGTGTTAATGGGATGTACCCTCTGGTAAACAAACATAGCTATTGAAAATGGCCATAGAAATAGTGGATTTTCCCATTAATAGCATGGTGGATCTTTCCATAGTTGTGTAAACGTTTACCACAGGGTATCTAAGATTGGCCAGGCCCACTTATAGTTGATATTAGTTGATTTACCGAACTTAAAGATGGTGATTTTAACCACTTCGCGAACTGTAAACGTTGACCAGAGGCTAAATCCACGGGTTCATCATTTTCCCTATGACCCTATGGCTGGGGGCATGCCCCATTTTCAGACAAACCCATATCTAAAAAACCTCCCATAGTGAAAGGCGCCAACATGAATAGATCCTGTGACTACTTGAGGGGTTTTTTCCCTGGGCATTTTAATATTAGGTCATATTAGGGGGAAGGGATTCGTATCAAAGTGTCGAGTTGTGAGCAGTGGGGTGACACTTTATTTCTGAATCCTTTTGGGGGGGGCCATAAGTTTGATGCACAAATCGAATTTCATATGGTTGGATCATGTTTCTTTAACCAGGCATCATTGGAAGTTGCTGGAAGGCTGTTTTTTGGCAACGCACAAAAGCAAAATAAAGCAAAGACGTAAGTAAGAGATACAGTGGGGACAAGTAATTGAGCGGACCTGAATACAGTCGGTAAGTTTATTTGGTGTTCTGACCCTTCAAAACTTGGACAAAAAGACACTGAGTTTCCCGCAACGCATTCCTGTGAGCTTGGCGCGGGGCTGTGCACCCCACGTATCGTACGCGACGACTGAGCCAAAAGTGGCCCTGGCCAATCTTATAGATACCCTGTGGTAAACTAACATAACTATGGAAAATCACCATTTTTAATGGGAAAATCCACTATAAATGGCCATTTTCAATAGCTATGTTTGTTTACCAGAGGGTACCAAAAAAAACAAACATAATTATCAGCACTTATCCATGTTTATCCCTAGCAAACGACAAAGTATTGAACCACCCCAAGCGTGTGGTTTGTTCGGCTCTGGGTGGAGGATCATTCCCAGAAATCCCACGGAAAATCCCTGCATATTGGGAGAGGATAGTCCAACAACATGGCGAAAGCACCAACATGAGGAGATACTCTGGAAATAGTAATTTGAACCAAACAGATTTACATATATTGAAATTGATACGTACAATATATATATATAATTATATGATATTATATATTATATTATATTATATTAGATTATATTATATTATATGATATTATATATTATATGATATTATATTATATGATATTATATATTATATGATATTTTATATTATATGATTTTATATATTATATGATATTTTATATTATATTATATTATATATTATATGATATTTTATATATTATATTATTATATTATATTATATTATAATATATTATATCATACTATATTATATTATATCATATTATATATATAATTATATGATATTATATTATATGATATTATATATTATATGATATTGTATATTATATTATATTATATTATATATTATATTATATTGTATATTATATTATATTATATTATATATTATATTATATTATATTATGTTATGTTATATATTATATTATATTATATATTATACTATATTATATTATATTATACTATATTATACTATATCATATTATATAATACTATATTATATATTATATTATAGTATATTATGTTCTATTAATTATATTATATTGTATTATATTATATTGTATTATATTATATCATATTATATTATATCATATTGCATTATATCATATTATATTATATCATATTGCATAATATCATATTACATTACATTACATTATATTGTATTGCATTACATTACATTATATTATAACATTTTATATTATATCATAAAACATATATATTAATTATATCATACCATATCATATCATATCGTATTATAATATATTATATTAGATTATATTATATTATATTATACAATATGACATATATATATATATCATTATTATTACTATCATATTATATATATATGTATTATTATTATATCATATATATACAGTATATATTGAACTGAGTTGAAATCCATTATTCCCAGCGTCTTTTTCATCAACACAAAGCATCTTACTGGAATGTTGTTGTTTTTGGCGCCATGGCGCCATGGATGAATTCCTTCCTGATAACACCTGGCAAACTAACATAACTATGGAAAAGCATGGAAAATCACCATTTTGAATGGGAAAATCAACTATTTCAACGGCCATTTTCAATAGCTATTTTGACATGACCAGAGGGTAAAACCTGGGAAAATACCAGAGAAATCCATCCTGATTTGTGTCGCTTCCACTATGATTTGGGGTTACCCAGCCCCAAATGGAAACCGCCATGGCAACCTGGACCGCCCCTCGATGGCAACATTTTTTTGGCGGCTCACCGTGACGGTCACCCCTCAGCTTCCTGGCGCACATTGTGGGGCCCCCAGTTATAAATTGATCCCCCATCAAGTAGTGATATGGTTATGGGTCAAAACCCTGGTACCCCTGGTGAACCCCAAAATAGCTGGTAAATGGATGTTCATCCCCCTAAAAATGGTATCTATAGGTATTGATCCATACCCATATGTAATTATAGTATAGATGTATCTACCATAAACCATAGCTACCGGAGTTATGAACAACTGTTCTATGCAGTTCTATGCAATTCCATGCTCATGCTGGCGGCGCAGTGGCTTGAGCCCTGAGGTCCAAAGGGGGGGTGGTTGCGATGCCTGGAGGTTGCCTGGATGTTTGAGTTGTTTCAGATTTAGCATGATTTAGCTATGGTCAAACCTGTTGACTCGTTGATTCAACCAACACAAACATGGATGGTTTGAAATACTCTCAAAGTAAGCAGCCTTTTTCCGTCAAAGCGGTACCCCAATATCCAGAGAACATTTCAGTGCCAAGGTCAACAACATTGAATTATGAAAAAGGTATGGTCATCCCACTTTTCATGTGGTTAAAAACATGTTAAAATTAAAGGACCGGATAACCCCACAAGTCAACTTCTTCCTAAAATGAGTTTCAATGGTTTTAGCAGGGACGGGGAAGGAAGGAAAGACAAAGGAGGTGGTGAAAGATCGAGAAGCTAAAACGGTAGGTATGTATGTATGTATGTATGTATGTGTGTATGTGTGTATGTGTGTATGTATGGTACAAGACCCCAACGAAATGGTCATTGCTCTAACACAAAACGGTACAAGACATGAAAGGAGGTCAATGTAGCACTGGCATGCGGCATACCCGCCGACTTTTTCTCGTTGCGAGCAGGCCAATGTTAATCCCGTTAGAGCATAGACGCCTGGTCACATTCTTGCAATGTCAATGAGCATGGTTCTTTGCACATTGCGCCAAACCATTGCGCCAAACCAATGCCAAAGCATGTCAGCTCCAGCTGTCACGGAACAAATCTAGGAGAGTTTGTGGACGATTCCAACTGGTGAACTATGAAGACAGCCGCGGCCTGCCCTAAGGTCACAGGCCCGATGACGATGCAAGGGCGAAAAAGTACCTGGCCGCAAAAGGACAGAACGCGTATATGCAGCTAGCTATCAAAGCAACATGCGCAGAAACGATACAATTCAGTCTGTTGCACGAATTGTCACCTTTTCGCTGTGATCCAAAGCCTGGCAAGACCTGTAGCACTTCTTCCCGCAGTGGGGCAAACTCTACACATGTCACGAACGGTTTTGATTTGGCCGTCGCGACCCCACTCTTCCCACATTGGGTCAACAATGGGTCTAGGAGAAAACGAAGAGAGTACTACGATGACTTCAACCGGTGACCTACGAAGAAAACCGCGCCTGCCCTAAGGTCACAGGCCCGATGACGATACCAGAACGGAAAAGTACCTGGCCGCAAAAGGACAGCGATGTATAATATGGAGCTGGTTGTCAAAGCAACAAATACAGAAAGGATAAAATTCAGGTTGCCGCACGAATGCCACCTTTTCGTCGTGATCAAAATCTTCACAAGGTCTGTAGCCCCTCTTCCCACAGTGGGGCAAAATGCAGACATGTCACGAACATTTTTAATGTAGCCGTGGCGACTCCAGTCTTCCCACATTGAGTCAACCATGGGTCCCGCAGCTAACAAAAGGTGCGGTGGCCGTCGTCATTTGTTTCCTTATATTCAGAAACACACAACCACTTTTGCTACAGCATCAAACGGTTCTTCGCACATTGCGTCAAACCATTTCATGATATGTAAAGAAAGATGTGTATCATAATTACAGCAACATTTCTTCTCCCGTGGACTGCTGTCACGACGTCTTCTTGCGACGCTGTTCAGACGGAGATTCCGCTGCAGCAGTGGACATAGGCAATGACCCCGTTCTTGTGGCCACCGCTGATGCCTTTGACATGGGTGCGCCATCACATCGTTGGGGCCGCAGTTGCGCGAAGCTCGCGGCTCCAGCTCGCTCAAGCGGCATTCTTTCATCAGAAGCTGACTTGCCATGACTTGCGATGGGCGGTGGTGGTAGTTGCCTGAAACGGTCTTGTACATCTGGTGAAGTTACACGAAGGGTAGGCCCTGAGGAAGACACCAATCTTGGCGACCGCTCTCTTGATTCACGGTGTGCAGCAGGTGGTGCCATGGCTACCGTAGTGTGTGCGTCCAAGAACCGTGCCACATCTTCCCTTTCTTCTCGATTGGCTCCAGTCAAGTTGATCTCCACAAGTGAGCCGTCGCTCATTGTCACACTGATGAGATCAGGAAGGCGATTCCGCCTGTTGCTCGGCTGCTGCAATCTTCCACGTTCTTCTCGGTCTCGCGACGTTGCCATAGCTGCAGTAGCTTGTCAACAACGGACAAACTAAAGCCAAATACTAACATTTAAGCGTGAAACATGTGGAACACTATCCTCTGCAGCTCCGGTCGTTTCTTTCCACGTTGGGCCAAAACGATCAGAGCAGCAAGAGATGATCCGATGACCGCATCTTTGCATGCAAATGACCAATTTCACTTGACTGACTAGTTGTAGTTGTGGTTGGGTCGTATGCATGCTAGAGATGTTGTCCGCAAAAACTTCACTGCCTAGTTGTAATTGTGGTTCTGGTGGTGGTAACACTATCCTCTGCAATGTCTGCTTCGGCCGCCTCTTTCCACGTTGGGCTAAGGTCACCAAAGCAGAATTATGCAGCTCCGGTCGTTTCTTTCCACGCTGGGCCAAAACGACCAGAGCAACAATAGATGATCCTATGACCGCATCTTTAACTTGACTGACTAGTTGTAGTTGTGTTGTAGTGGTATGCGTGCTAGCTGCTAGAGCTGTTGTCTGCAACTTCTAGTTGGGCCAAAGCGACCAAAACAGAACCACAAGAACAACATGATGAAAGCCTGCATGCAAGAAACAGAATCTGTCATGTCTGCGCTGTACAGCGTTGTTCAAGCGCAGTTGGGCCCTGCCTGTCGTAGCGACCACGAGCAAGACCAGCACCTGGCCGCAAGTGTGTGTGTGGAACGACATGATGAAAGCCTGCATGCAAGAAACAGAATCTGTCATGTCTGCGCTGCACAACGTTGCTCAAGCGCAGTTGGGCCCTGCCTGTCGTAGCGACCACGAACAAGACCAGCACCTGGCCGCAAGTGTGTGTGTGGAACGACATGATGAAAGCCTGCATGCAAGAAACAGAATCTGTCATGTCTGCGCTGCACAACGTTGCTCAAGCGCAGTTGGGCCCTGCCTGTCGTAGCGACCACGAACAAGACCAGCAATGTCTGCTTCGGCGTCTTTGCACGTTGGGCTAAGGTCACCAAAACAGAA